AGGAACGTCCTCGTCCCAACGAGGTTTCGCGCATGGTTCTCGTCGGAAATGTCAAAGACAAGATTGCGATCATTGTCGACGACATGGCTGATACATGTGGTACTCTCGTCAAGGCAGCCGACACTGTCATGCAGCACGGTGCGAAGGAAGTCAACGCCATTGTCGTACACGGCATTCTCTCCGGCAATGCCATTGAGAACATCAACAACAGTTGCTTAAACCGTCTCGTCGTGACCAACACAGTGCCCCACAAGGAGAAGAAGGAGATGTGCGACAAGATTGACACCATTGATATCAGCCCTACGTTGGCGGAGGCTTGCAGACGCACACACAATGGTGAATCTGTCAGTTTCCTGTTCTCGCACGCTGTGGCGTAGAATTGGGCAGAATCGGGGAATTTTGAAGTCATTGGAGAGAACTTCCAGTCTTTTTCAATATGACGGGTCGAAGGTGGCTTCTTGTTCTTGATTGCTCTGTTCTATCACTGCATTTGCGTTTTCTTCTACGGAAGTTGTCAATCAGCTTGCTCTGTTTTTCGAGCTTTGTAGGGCATGTTAGCCTCGGTTTTGCTCGTTTCTTCTTCTATTTATAACATGAATACTGGACATGATGCATGAGACACAAGAGAATGGATGGAGGGAAAAGTAGGCACTTTGCTTCTGATTTTGAAATCTATACCTTTGTACATATATAGAGTACTGAATGGCTGCCGGGCGCATTTTTGATTGCTTTGACGTCTAATTGATATTTCGACGGCAGCACCAAGGATATGGAGTTTGTTGCCTGGGGCTAATGGCTGATTAAATCGGTACCTATTTTGGATAAGAATGTCTCCCAGTAATGCTTGGATGCTTAGCCTAGGACTCACGTAATGTAATCGTGGCCGTGTGGTAAGCCGAGGCTCTTCCATGATTACAAGACCGGAATTGTGTTATGAAGCTGGAAAAAAATGAGATTGCGATGGGAATACAGACATTCTAGGAGAAAAACCAGAGAAAGAAAGAGCTTCGTTTCATTCAAGTAAGCAGTGCTAAGCAACCCGCGGAACCGTTACCATGCCATGCTGAGTGACGAGAATGGGGGAAAAAGGAACGACCTTTGTCGATGGTTGAGAAGAGGCAACCCAAGCAAGTAGGAACAAGAACTCTTTAACGTTTTTTCCCATTCACTCCGTGAAATTGAATTCTTAGAACTGAGTTTTAGTTTTGCACACCAAAGTGGCCCGGTTCCGCAGACGCTCTTCCCCCAAGGGCCTTCATTTTCACCTGGGTCGCCCCTGCGTTGAACTCAAAACCCCTCTTCCCTAGCCATAATAGAGACGTAACCCGACCATTAACCCCCGGAGAAAAACATTTACTTTCTCATCGAAGACGCTCTCCGCTTGCGGAGCTCGTCACGCTTGGCCTTCTCCTCGTGGACACGGGTGGCAAGAAGCTTGGCGTAGTCGTTACTGTTTGGAATGTTAGCGAGAGCAGATTTCCACCGAGCGTTGGGGCTGAAAGAAATAGGGTGGAGCTTACGCAGCCTCCTTGGCAGCCTCAGCGCGACGGCGCTTGAGGGCAATCCTGTGACGCTTGCGCTGGAGGCGCTGGGGAGTAACCAGACGCTGGATCTTGGGGGCCTTGGTGTAGTCGGGCTTGCCCTCACGGGTGACGGTACGACGGATGACGAACTTGCGGACATCGTCCTTCTTGTCGAGACCGAAGAAGCGGCGGATCTTGGTGGCACGCTTGGGACCGAGTCTCTTGGGGACAACGGTGTCGGTGAGGCCGGGGAGCTCACCCTCACCCTGCTTGACGATGCTCAGGGCAAGGACGGCGAGGTCGAAGTTGGTGATGGCTGCAATGACAAGTGTCAACTACGCGTTTCCTTCTCTCTGGGTGTTTCTGATTGTAGGACGGTTCGAGACATACCACCACGGACACTCTTGCGCTTTCTCTCACCAGTACGGCGGGGGCGGTAGCAGCTGCAATGACTCGTCAGCGACGCATTCTCTGGACACATTTCGGTATTGGCAGATGCGTAATTACCTGTGGCCGTCGGCAAGCAGGAGTCTGGTACGAGTGGGAAGGAGAACTGGTGATATCCGTAAGTTTTCTGACTTGTCTCTGATGTCGATTCTTGCAGTCGTTACGTACCACCCTGCTTCATGGGGAAACCTAGAGATATAGCGTCAGCAAACTGAATCATTCCGTCGCTATTTCACAACTGCTTGATTGCTGGCAAGCAGAATTCTCGAATCGTACCTTGCTTGTCGTTACCACCGGTAATCTTGAAGATGTAACCCTTGAATTCATCACCGAGGGAGTCGCCGGGAATCTAGAGAGAAAAATAGCCCGAATCAGTCTTCTGTTCTCCATTCGATATCCAATTCTCTTCCGGCTGAAAAAAATTCTCTTGCGTGGTTTCGAGGTGCCGGATACGTAAAGCAAAATAGGTCTGGGGGTGTGCTAACTTCGGTTCCCATGCGCTTCTCCATGAAGGGACGAAGCTTGCGCTCATCGTCAACCTCGATGATTTTCTGCGACCCATTGGCCGGGTAGGAGATGTTGAGCTTCATCTTGACGGGTGTGCGCGGTCAAGACGGAGGCGCGGGTTTGTCGACAGGTCGAGGAGGTTCAGGTCGTCGGAGGTTCGTTCTTCGTGGGATTTTTTGCTGTGGTGTAGCGAGATTTCCCTGTGTGGGCGGCTGACTAAGGCGCACTAGCCGAGTCCGGCACAGCGCCTCTCGGTAGGGCTTCTTATGTCAGCCCCTCCCATCTCTAACCTATCTTCGTCTTCGAAGAAGAGATCAAATCATATTGTAAGAGTAGTCCGAATGGCTCTTTCGCCCGTTAATGAAATAATCACTTCAATCTCTTATGACAGCTCTCGGTTCTTTTGATGATCAGAAAATTACAGATTGTGGTCGCAGCTTTACCGATATACAATGTTTGATTCCTTAGGCATCCGCTCAGAATCTGGATCGTCTCACTTATTGGACTGATACCTATGAAAAGAACAATATAGATATAGGGCATGAAGTCTTATTCTCCGGGGAGATAAATTGTCTGTTCATGGTCCTGGGGCTTAAATTGAAACATTTCGAATGGACCAATGGGCCATGGCTCGTACATCGAAGGCCTGTTGAACTTTGGTATGGCCGATCCCAGATGGTACCCATGGAGGTTAACGAACTGCACTAGCTGTTCAGCAATGGAGAGATCCTCACTGACTATACAATCCTGCTCTTGTCGCAAGAACCGATGTTATTCTCAATGTCTTCTGTTGGTACATATTGTCGATGGACTCTTATGTAGCAATACCAGACTAAGATTATGCCATCATTTGAGTACCTGACGCCACTCAAAATTACCTAGGTCAACGAGTTCTGGATTTCAGCATATCCAATAGAAGATGAGAGCACTAAACCAATATATTTTGGTCCAAAGTGGCATTAACACTGACTGCATCCCATGATCATCGTTGATACTTGGAGAAGTATTTATACTCCTCACACCACAATAACTTGCATTCCAGCTCCTCAACTTGACCAATGTATTTATTAGTGAATTAAATTGCAGACAGGGAACGAATCTCAAAACGGATTGGTATACATATCGACGATCTAACAAGAATATGACCTCCTGCCGATAAATGCGAGATGTGAACTGGACCTTATATCCAGCGGTCTGCAAAGGCCGAACAGCCGAAGCGCAAGAATAACAAAACCAGAAACGCAAGTGCTTAGCGATTTGGTGGCGCAGTACGCAACCCCCAAGTAGTCGTCGTCGTCCTTTTCTCTCGCATTCATTAAATCGTTCTCGGAAGATAAAACTGAGGCTGAAAAGACTTGAATCCCTGGCGATTATTGGTGTTTCATCAGTTTGAAGATATGACAAATGCATCACTGTCTACACATGTGGACCTGCAGAAAGGACGGGAGGTTGTGAGTGTGCACGCGACAGGTTACCACTACTGCCGCGCGGCCAGCCTTATGGAGGCGCAGTCTGCACTGTATCCATCATCCAACTATGTCCACCGGTACCTGGTTGTCATGAAATTGGTTGGATGATTGGATCTAACCTTTCTCTACTAAGGTAACCGGCCAAATTACACCTGCTTAGGCGTCCAACGGTTGCAACCAAAATTGATGGTGTCATAATTAAATTTCATTTCCTAGACAGCATCCCCCTTATCCCTTTTCCTTTCGGTTTGTCGCGATCGCCTTTTTTTATCCTGTAGAAATCTTATATTTCTGCGGCTTCTGCCAACTTTGGAACATTTGATCCATTATCCACCCCCCACTTGGCTAACTCCGAACTTGCTAATTATTGCACTCTAAATTCTCCTGTCATGCTCTTCAGTCCTAGAACGGAACGGCACTGCCGGAAAGAAGAATAATACCAGTCCCTATCCTCATCTCCCTTGCCCTTTTCCCTGGACAGTTGTCTCAGTATATAACAATCTACTCCTTATCCCCGAGTCAATTGACGCCAGTCCGCTTGTCAACGGAGGGAGGGGACCTGTCTCCTATTACGCCACTAAGTCTCTTTCTTACTCCCGATCGTCCCGGGTGTCTTTCAGGAGGCAGAACAAAGAAAACCGCCGATCGACGAACACTTGGAGAACAGCCTCCCGTCGCACCTTGTGATTGCTCTGGTGTCGGTTTCGGCCTCGACGGCTGATTGCGATGAGACTCTTCAACAGATTCTACTCCTTGTGCGCCTTGGCTGTATGTAGCATTCTGGCGTCAACATTATTCCTCGCCTCGCAGCACTATTATCGCCGAGTAGTTCCGGCCCATTTGGCGGCTACGGAGTTCCACGCCGCGGGCTCGTTTGATCGGAGATTGGTTGTCTTTGGTGATTCGTGGAGCGACAACAATGCAGGCGAGATTCATGGGTCAGTATGGACTGAATGGCTGTGTTCAATGGTGAGGGATATCCTGGCCAAGTTCAACCGGAGGGGCTATGTTGTGTGCTAATAATGAGACTCAGTACTCCTGTCACCATGAAAACATGGCGCAAACAGCAAAATCTCTAAGGGGAACTTACATTGGCTCCGTTGTGGATAACCAGCAGCTCTCGGGCACCATGCTCAATCTGTACCAGGCACCCCTGGCGGATTTCAAGGCGCAGGTGAAACAATGGACGACGGCCGAGACAGCAGCTTTGCAGTCCTTGTCCGACAAGGAGATGGGGTCTCGTCAAAATAATACGATTATAGTTGTCTCGTTTGGAGTCTGGGACCTATGGAACATGATCGGAAAGAGCTACGAAGATTCGACTAGTATGGTTGATCATAGCATCCAGGTGATCATGGACCAACTTAATGTGCTCTCTCAGCTCTGGGTCACAAATGACCTCAAAGTCATTCTCACGCTCACACCGGATGTGACTTTCCTTCCGGCATTTAGGCCGACAGCAGCCGAACAGCGCGTCAGTCGCCACAAAGACACGGTCAAGCTGACGGAATATTGGAATCGCAAACTGCGTGATGCCGCGGAACAGTGGGATCAAGGCGTGATCTACCTGTTCGACACCAACGCATTTATGGCAGACATTATCAAAGATTGGCAGCTCTTCGCTGCTGGGGTGGAGGAATCCAACGGGCTTGGAAAAAATCAAGATCCGGGCTGGGAGAACGTTGAAGACGCATGCGTCGAGACTGGCCAGCAATGGGTATTGGTCACCAAGGAGAAACAATGTGAAAATCCGGACAAGTACCTTTTCTGGTGAGTTCCAGACCTAGCGGCGACCCCCGTGTAGCCAATTCAGCTGGATACTGATGTTATCTTCAGGAACGAAATGCATCTCGGTCCATCAGCTCATCGTCTCATGGGAACTGAAGTGTTCCATGGGATAGAAGAGATGTGGCTCCGGTAAAGCTAGGTAGATGGCGTTTTCTCCGAATCGCAGCGCGATGGAACACTCGACATCTTGACGTAATGACTGCCAGGAAGTGCAGTGTAGAAGCCAAAACTTTGGTTACTCCCCGCTACAACAAACGCCTTGCAGCGGTCGCTGGCGGCAAGCAAGGCAAGCCACGACAGAGATCGATCTTACATTAGCGAACTCCCGGCCAGAAGCTATACTCCTTGCGGCTACATGGGGTCCGATGAAGACCAAGTCCGGAATAGGTTTTCTTTCTTTGACGGGCCCAAAAGATAAGAGTCCATCCGATTCTCGACAAAGCATCATGGTCGAGACCGAATGTTCTGGTCAAGGTGGTATGTCTCATGCGGAAGGAGCTGGGCTTTCTCCACTCGGTTCGATGTGCAACATTGATTGTGGGGTGGATAATCGATCATAACTTGGCAGGGGCCAGCAACATGACTGTACCATAGTCAAGGGGAACATGCTCTCCTTTATTCGCGTTAGTTGGATAAACCCTGCTGCCAACCTATGAGAAATGAGATCATTACAGGCGTGTCGAGCTTCTAGTCTAGGTTCCCTGATTTGGTAATACTCCGTACTCCGTAGATAAGGGGGCTAAGGGGTCGAGTGGAGGATCGATCTCTCATCTTTTCTGTTCGTTTCTTTCATCGATATTTCTTTGTTCCCCTTCCGTAAGTACCTTTAGGAATGATGCTAGTTATGAGAACAAAGGGCCCCAGTGGGGGGGGGTTTTGTCTTTGCGTTAGGTGGGGGAGCACGGGGGAAGCGATAAGGGGGCAGCAAATGAACTCCTCCCAGAAAGCAAATGTACCTCAGGAACTTGGCTACGTAATCAGTAAGCTTGCTGGATTAAGGTTAGCGGGCAGGCTAAAGGGCCAGACCAGGGTGACTTTCCGTGACTTCAGTTAGGCGGATGTCACTGGTCACAAATTGAAGCCAATCATTGGCTGTGCGGCCGTCTCTGGTGATTGGCTGGGGGACTCTCCTACGGCACGCCGCATGCGTCGACAAAAGACAAAGGAAAGCTAAGCTCAGACGAAACACGAAACAACATTAGCAGTTGAAAGAATAATGAAGTGAAGTAAAGAAACTATCGAAATTTAGGGAATGACATGACGGCAGCAGAACGAGGAGAGTGACCGAGTCTGTACTGGTGAACAGCACAATAACAGGCTTACCTACCTTTAGGTGCTCTATATCCAGGCTGTCTTTGTTGACTTCTCCAAAAGGGTACAAGTAGTACTGGACTGTTGCCCTCGAGGTACCAGCCTGAGGTTGCTTCTATTGTGTGATGATGTAGGGAGTATCCCAGCCATACGTACTGCACAATCGCCCCAGCCTGATCGCTACCTGACCAAACCAGAACCACAGTTCCTTTGTTACCTGCTCGTCCACCTATCTGTTGGATCGTGGTGCCAGTACCATCATGTTCCATCCGTTTGATCCCAGAGACAGTGTGTCCAGTGGGGGAAGGGCGCAATCCGAGGGGATATGTGTCATTCATCCAAAGACAAAGAACGTGGTTCGTAGGGTCAAGGTAGATCCAACACCAACAGGGGGCGCGCTCTCAATAGACCCAAAGATAGATTTAAAACAAAGCAATTTGGAAAAGAGCGCCAATCCTGGCTTTATCAAATCGTATTCTCTCCCTCGGTTGACTTTCTTTCATAGAAAACTCCATTTCATTGTCAAAGAAGGGGGGAAAAAGTAAAAAAGAATTCAAGAGAAATGTGACAGAACAAAGACAAAGGTCTCCAAAGAAAAGAAATCAGCCATATCGGGAGTCAAGCAAATCACGACTGACAGCCTGACAGGCATCAGGTCTAAATAAAATTAGGGCCAGCGAATTACGAGGGTTCTCTTGTCTTTCTTTAACCTTATATCTCTAATTCTTTCTTTCTTGCTTGATTGCTTTCGAACAGGCTATCTTCTTGTTCCCTGTCCTGTCCCGGGCTTTTCTACCAGCATCGCCTCCTGCGCCTTGTCATCTATCCATCTAATGTCCTATTCTCTCCGCCGAGCACAGCGACCTATTCCTGCCCATCACAAGGCGGCTTCGCTCCTTACCACCTTCTTAAATGTCTTACGATCGAGTCCTTCCCAAACCTCCTGCTCTGCTCTATGACGCTCCTCAAGTCCCTATTCCCAGGCGGTCCAGTAGCCTCCTCGACCACAAGATCATGAACGACGAGCCAACTACCAAAGTTTCCGTGGTAGACCATCCTGTCGAGGGTGGTTCGTGCAGGTACACTACTGAAGTACCAGCAACTGGGCTGCCTCAGGTGCATCTCTCTTTAAATCGGACGAAGCTCGCTCTGGGCAAGGCAGCCTCCGATTCTCCTACCAAGTCTCCCAAGTTTGCAGCACCAGTGCTCACCAAGGACATGCCCGTGCGAGAGCGCTCTTCTCAATCGGAGAGATCCTCCTCTTCCAGTCCTGTGAAGTCAACAGCGTCAAAGGAGTCAGTCATGCAGTTCTGTCTCTGTCAACCGGATCCCAAGATCCCTAGGCCAAGGAACGGTAAGGCGTTATCCATTGTTAAGTATGGCCACAAACTGACGGGAAGTACTTTAGCTTTTATCCTGTATCGGCAACATTATCAAGCCGCAGTAGTGGCTCAGAATCCGGGGCTTGCTAACCCGGATATCTCCAAGATCATTGGAGAGCAATGGAGGAAGCTCCCTCAAGAAACCAAGGATGAATGGAAGGCTCTTGCAGAGGTATGCAGCCTAGACCTCGATTTCTTTTTGCTTGTACACTTTCATTCTTGCTGACCTTCATTGGCAGGAAGAAAAAGCTCGTCATCAGCAGCAGTACCCTGAATACCGGTACCAGCCCCGTCGCTATGGCCGAGATGGCAGTTCGCGTGCGACCGGCTCTGGCATTAGCCACAGCCCTCCGGGCTCTGCAGTCTGCAACCGATGCGGTGGGCGAGTGATGACCCCACCTGTGTCGCCAGAGGCCGCTTTCACGCCCAGTGTATCTGCTAATGCAGCATCTCCACATCCCGATATGGTCATGGCTCGAAGTTATCAACGCCGGGCTAGAGATTCTGACAGACAACCGAATCCCATCCGAGTAGATAACCATGGCGATTCCTGTCCTCCTCGTCAAATACCATGGGAAGAGGCCGGTTGCCGGTCCCCAGACTCGAAGCGTCGCCGGTTCAACTCTCAGGTATCGTTGAAACCAACTGTTCATGGGGACCGAAGCCCCGAGTCCTCATATCCAATGTCGCCTTATACCCCCCGTACGGATGCACCCAACGCTCGGACTTTGCATCAAATGATCCATCCTTTGACAACGGCTCGATATAGCAGAGATCATCCACCGCATGATCCAAGTCTGAAGCTTCCACCACTACAGACCACAGTGCCTCTCCCGGGCTCCGTGACACCTATCACTCCGTTCCCAAATGATGGATCAAGTCTTGAGGCGACGGTCATGACGATCCCCTTCCTCAACAAAATCAAAGTCCTCGCCAAAATATCCCCACCACTCATTCCGTCCTTCCGTGACAATTCTATTCCTAAGCGAGGAGCCGTGATTGCTGTTGACGGGCAAGATCTTGCACAAGTAAAAGCAATGGTCGATTATCTCAACAATGTTTTCCAGAAGGAGGGAAAATACAAACCCCGCGTGTTCGAAGGCCCCGAGGTCCGCTCGCGGGAGAGTTACTCTGCGGCCGGACAGATGGGCGATGCCACCGTCGATTATCTCAACACCATTTCAGTATGGCATCGCATTTCGGATGACATTGTGAGCTTCGTGAAGCCTGCACGGGAGCCCTCAGAATCAAAGCCGGAGGATGATGACTCCGCCTCTGAGATTTCTCCCAAGACCATCATCCCGAAGACGGCTGATCTGAAGATAAGCTCTCCAGCTCAATCGAGCGAGAACGGTTCGGAATCAGCCTCTTCGGTTCCCGGCTCTGGCCTCTCACCTGTCCCTATTGCACTCGTCCCTCGCTACCAACTCACTAACGCAGATGCATTCGCGTGTTCAGTACCGATCAACGACTCGTACGCTCCCTTGGATCACTGGCAGTGGATGGCATCTCTCTGGCGAGCGTGCGTTGGGCCGGACATCACTGTCTACATCCGGGATTGCGAGAAAGACGAGTTGGATCGCTACGGAGGCAACTCTGTCGAGGTCCGTCTGCAAGATGCACGTACTGTGGTCGTGCGCAGACTAGCCGGCTCCCAGAAGGAGCTGGAAGAAAAAGCTTTGAAGCGCGTTGGTTTTGAGATTGAGGATTTCCTCACTCAGTAAGACTTTTCTGCTCAAATTCTCGTTTTTATTTAGCATGGATCATCAAATTGCGCGGAGGCGGCCTTTTGCTTTTAGTCAACATAAGTATCATCCCATTTTCGGAGGCTCTCGTCTGTTCTCTCTGGGCTGTTGTTCTTGTTGGTATATATTGTCATTTTGGTTGACAATTATGGCGTTTGGTGGACTTAACACTCATTATTTCTTCGTTCGTCTAACTTGTTATCAAATATAAGACTATATTAATCATCTAAGTAGGCTGAATCTGAATGCGATTAATTTGACAATGTTCTTGAAGCCAACTCCGTGTTGCTGCTTGAGGTTCAGTTCAGATAAGTCACGTGGATCTAAACACAACTAATATAACCCAAAAGGGAAGTCCGAGGGCGGTGAAAGGCATGAACCAATGGCGTTCGTAAGCTCGCGGAGTTATCGTCGCGGTCCTGGCGCAGCTTCATGATTATTCACTGACTGTCAAAGAGTTATGGTTTCCACATCCAGGATGGATGCTTCCATTCGTAGGATGACGCTGGTTTGAGACTTGAGTCAACTTCAGCAGGTCTGTGAGACGCCTTGTAACCATCATCTCCCAACTCCCAACTGTGACCTGAGATCTGTGACGCTCAATGGCCTCCTGCTAAGCGGATTTCTCGCGGCAGGGCTTTAGGGTCGATCTGGGGATTGAGTGGAAGCGGAGTGATCGAATATTGTGTTTCGTGAGATCTGCTGCTTTAAAGTATGGCGTTGGCTGGTTTGGGACCGCAACCTCGTGTTGCATCAATTCAGTCGCAGGTGTGTTTCTCCAATCTGCTGGATTCGCCTCTCCTGCTGCTGGGTTTATTCCACATGGATTTGCAGAGGGAATCTGGTTAGTCCATGCGCTGACAGGACGACTATTTGGCATAGATGATGGAAACAGATACCATAAGATTAAGTGAGCGTCCTTGCGGATCTCCCATATGCGACTACTCGTCGTCGCAAGTCACACCTGCGACCACACCCACGCCCTCATCTTCGTTATCTGGCTCTGGAAATAGGGGTATGGTCCCTGCACAGAAATTCATCCAAGAAAAGGACTTGTTCTTATCAAACTTGAACTCATACGTTGCCGTCGGTGTCCTGAGAAAGCGCAACGAACGCCACAATGCTGATGTCGAGCCTTCGATGGAAGACGACAACTATCCAGTTGGAGAGATTGGAATGTTGAAGAAAAGCAATTGGGTGCGAACATGCGAGTATACATATGTGAAGCACCCGCAATGGTGCTATGTTCGTGTCTATGTTCTGCCCGACGATGCTGGGCACAAGTACATTGACCGTTCAAGCAAGACATTGAGGGAGGCACTTAAAGTTGTTATGTCGAAAGTCAATCGGTCTGTCGATGCATGGGATGGGATCTTCTTTTCGGATGAGCGAGTCATCGATGGGAATTCCAACGATACCGGAAACGAGGACGAGTCACTATGGTACATATTCAATACACTGCGAAATCCGGAACCGCAAGTTGAGGCCGTGAAAGACCCTTACGCGAAGCTCGCCATGCGGCAACTTCTTTCTGTGGAGGGCGCTGGCGACACAGTACTCGATGCTGGTGTCACAGGACTCAAGACTCCATTGTACCCATACCAGCGTCGTTCTGCGGCTTTCATGGTTCAACGTGAAGCGCAGCCAGCCCAGATGCTGGACCCTCGTCTGCAGTTGTTCAAGGGTCCCAACGGACGCGAGTACTACTACGACGAAGAAGAAGGCACGATCTATAAAGAAAAGAAGCTGTATTCAGAAGCTTGTGGGGGAATCTTAGCGGAGACTATGGGGTGTGGTAAGACATTGATCTGCCTGGCTGTCATCCTGGCAACACGCTGTCATGTCCCTGCCATACCGCCTCTGTACCGGGAAGGGGAAGTCAAACGTGAAAAATGTGCGAGCCTTGTGGAGATGGCGGCGACAGCTGCTGGCCAGTCTTCGATGCCATGGAAGAGCTATTTTGATCGCCTCGGCCGTTCTGGAATGACCTTTGCACGGTGCATCAAAGCTTGCGAGGATAACAGAGGCGCGTATAAGATTCCTTCACCACCTACAAGGCACAGTGGTCGCGCTGGCGTCGCATATCCCAGGCCACCTCCTCAACTTGTGCGGCTTACTTCGGGGACATTGATTGTTGTACCTCCCAACTTGGTTGACCACTGGGAGGAACAAATTGCTCGGCACAGCCAAGGGCTCAAAGTTCTCGTCCTACGAAGCATGTCGAATGCTACTCCAAGTTCGGATGACCTCTTGCAATATGACATCATTTTGTTTTCAAGATGGCGTTTCGACCAGGAGGCCGGCGAGGCAGTTGACAACAGACGCGGCGTCTTCAACACTGTGGAGTCCCCATTACTTAGCCTTCATTGGCTTCGTATCATCATTGACGAAGGCCACAACGTAGCTGGATCTAGCCAAACTTCAAGAACGAGATATCTGCTGGACAAAATGCATATTGAGCGCCGTTGGATCGTGTCTGGAACACCGTCCAGTGGTCTTTATGGAGTGGAGGTGAGCTTGGCTTCGCACGAAACGAATACTAGCAGCGACACCGATCTATCAGAGGCGACCGAAGCTGTTCTTCAAGGAAAGAGGAAGACAGAGGCGAGAGACGACCAAGATCTCAGGAAGCTGAAACCGGTTGTGGTCAACTTTTTTGATTTGAAGCCATGGTCGAACCCTCAGGGCAATGACCATGCCGACTGGGCCAAGTACATGAGACTCGTAGGGAAGGATGGGAAACGTCGAAAAGTGCAGTCTCTTCGCGCCACGCTTCAGAGCCTTGTCGTACGGCATCGCATGGAAGTGATTCATAGCGAGATCACTCTACCAAAGCTTTACAACAAGGTCGTTTATTTGGAGCCAACGTTTTACGACAAGTTAAATCTGAACTTGTTTATCTTCGTTTTGGCAGTCAATGCAATAACCTCAGAACGGGAAGGCGATGACTACATGTTTCATATGAAAAACAAGAAGCACTTGAGGACCCTGATCAACAATCTCCGACAGGCTGGGTTTTGGTGGGCAGGCTCGAATCTGGATCTTTCGGCGACCGTGAAGAATGCTCTGGAATACCTGGAGAAAAAGAGAGCTCACATGAGCCACGATGATATCGCGACCTTGACCGAGGGAGTAGGGATAGCCGAGAAGGCAGTCTCCAGCGGACCTTGGAATGCTTTTAGGCAGCTGAACGAACTAGGCGTCTACGTTCGCGATTTCCCTTCTCATGCTCGAGGCTTGTGGGCACTGGACCCTTCGAAGTCAGACACTGAGCCCCTCCATATGGGCATTTATCAGGCTTGTCGCGCGCAGCAATTTGTCAAAGAACACCTGAAATCGGTTGACCCAGCCGAAGGCCTTGCTGGAGCGGGCATCAAAGCCCGCCGTGAGCAAGCGGAGGCCGCAGAGAAGCAAGGCCCTGAGTTAGGCTTTGCAACTTTCCCAAAGACTTCGAAGAAGGTGCCGAAGAAGTCATTCTCCAAAGGCCTTACGAAGTCACTGCCACCGGATTCTCCCCTGGCACAGACCAAGTTGCTTGGTACAACGTCGGCTAAGCTGTCGTATCTGCTTAGTCGAGTTATGGAGTTGCACACTGAGGAGAAGATTATTATCTTCTATGACAGCACGAATTCAGGCGTTTGGATTGCCGAAGGTCTTGATCTGCTTGGCATTGAATACCGCATGTATGCGAGTACGCTTAGTCCCGAGCTCCGGACGAGTTACCTGAATCTATTCCGAGAGAGCGAAGAGATCCGAGTATTCTTGATGGACTTGCATCAAGCATCTCACGGGCTCCATATCGCCAATGCGTCCCGTGTTTTCTTCGTCAACCCAATATGGCAGCCGAATGTGGAGAGCCAGGCCATCAAACGAGCACATCGAATCGGACAAACTCGGCCGGTATACGTTGAGACTCTTGTCCTCAAAGACACATTGGAGGATAAGATGTTAAAGCGCCGAAAGGCAATGTCAGAGAAGGAGATGCAAGAAGCCGAGAAGGATCTGCTTGATGATAGCACGATGAGCTCTATTATCCAGAACGAACGGTTCATTCCAATGCCCGAAGACGAGGGGTCGTCCCATGTCGCATATCTCTCTGCACCTTTAGGCTTTTTTGACCGCCATAAACTGGCAATTCCTGACGACGAAGGCGACACGGAGAAAACTCCTCCGAAGCGCAAACGTCCGTCGTCTAATAGCAAGAGCATTTGGGACGCCGAACCAGACATCATCACGCCTAAGAAGCGAAAATCTACGGCCGGTTTGGTGTTTCTTTCTCCGGGGGGTATCTTGATGACGCCCAGTAGAAATTCTCGATCTAAAACCCCTTCAGTCAGTAGCATCAACCAGGAAAAAGGCGGAAGCCGTGCAGTATCTGAGGCACCAAACGGTGTCCAACAGAGCACTGGGTCCATATTTGGGCCTTGAGAGAGCATTTAGATCCCAAAATATTTCATTAACGTATATTACTTCTTCTGAGGGACTGGTTATGAGAGAGGAGTCCGGGTACATATTTTCCTGTTTCTGTTTACTGGGGTTTATTTGGAGGATAAATACCATGGTTTGCGTTGCAAACTTTTAATCTACTGCTGCTTCACTTTCTATCTCGCCTTTTATACAACGGCTGTACCAAATGATTACCGAAAAGGGTACTTGAAGACTCCCCGGCGGCGGAGATCACGTTGTTGCCAGCATACCATTAACGTTCTAAGATGGAAAGAGAATAATGTCTACAATGCATTTGTTATCGTTTTCTTGAAGATGGCCCAGGAATCTGTGCGATGTCAACTTCAATGTTATCAACATTGAGATGCTCTCTGCCAGGACCCGGATTCGATCTACCCCACTACTAGCTGCTACCCCACTATCGCCGATTTAAGCAATAAACTAGCGCGACGCGCGATATCAACTTTCTGCCTATCCTCTTTTGCTCAATGCCTCTTCGTTCTTATGAACTATTGGATAGGACTTGTATTCTGTCATCTAGCTCTTTTGCAGAACCAGATATCCAGTCCATGAACCCCAAAGAAAGCAAACGACCACCCCCACCACTCATTATCATTCGATCCCAAGCATAGCCCAGCCCGCCTATCACCTCAAAAGCATCCACTGAAAACAAGAGAGAGAAGAGAAGCAGAAGCAGCCTTAAAGCTCAAAATGGCCGAAGCCGAAGCTGAAGCCAGCGCGCGATCGAAAAACCCAGTGACCGTAATCGGGATCTCCGGCCCCTCATCCAGCGGCAAGACAACCCTAGCCCGCCTCCTGCAGCGGATATTCTCGCATGCCAACGAAAACATGCAGACCTTTATCATGCACGAGGACGACTTTTACCTCCCTGATGATCGGTCAGTAACCCCCTCAAAAGTAGAGTAAGCAATCACGCTAACCAATCTAGAATCCCATACACGACAACCGCCTCCGGCAAAACAGTCCAAGACTGGGACACCGTCKAGGCAATCGACGTGCCGTTCATGGCGGCGGCGCTGACCTACGTCCGGCAGCACGGCCGGCTCCCGCCTCGCCTGAAGAGCAAGGAGGATCTCAACGAGGCGTCCGATTCGGGCGTCAGCGACGAGACGATTGCCGAGCTGCAGCGCGAGGTTTCAGAAAAACTGCAGCAAGTTGGACCAGCCCTGGCGGGAGATGGGGGAAAGCGGACGGTCGTCTTCTTCGAAGGGTTTTTGTTGTTTAGTCCGCCAGAAGCGGAGGTCAGGGAGCATGTGCTGCGGCCGGTGCATGAGCAGATCGATGTGCGTCTGTTTTTGCCGGCGCCGTATGATTCTGTCAAGGACCGTCGCGAGAAGAGGAGTGGCTATGTGACCATTGGGCCGGCTCCTGTCCCCCCGCTTCCGCACAGGGGATCGTCGGCTTCTGAGGATGTGAAGCAGCATGTTGATTTGGAAGCGGAGGATGACGCCCCGCCGCAGAACTTTTGGACTGATCCCCCGGGCTACGTGGATGATATTGTTTGGCCACGATACATACGAGATCATGCATGGCTGCTGTTACCTGAAAGCGGTTTTGACAATGATCGTTACCAGAACGCTAGGAATTCTGATGCTGACGAGTTGATCACAATTGTGGGCCAAGGGACGAACGTGAGAACTGATGCCGGTGTCGCTGTCGCTCCTGGGAAAGGTGCATTGCCCATGGTCGATGTATTAAAATGGGCTATAGAGGAGGTGATGAAGCCATTAGAGATGGCCGAACGATGACAACGGTTAACAATTTGGCAACATATTTCATTTCAGAGCTGTAATCATGTGAATATCTAAATGACATCAACCAAACACGATTTCTCCAGCCTTCAATGTTGCCACCAGCTTGTGGTTCGAGCTCTGCTCTGTCGAAGGGAAGGCCGTCTTCAATCTGCGGGGAGGCTAGAGCTCATCGGCAACGGGCCCCATCCATCCAAGCCAGTAATCAATCCTGTCCCTGACGGAGAAATGAGGTTGATCCTGGCTGTTACCAGACTTGACGTTCGCTGTTGGCGTGTCCTTGTCTTCCACAACCTTCTCTCCAATGTCCCCTGTCTCACCGCGATCCGCAAGTCCAGATTCCAGATCACTTAAACCGACGCCTGCCATGTAAGTCTCTTGAATGATCTCTGGCGTGTCGCTCGCAATGGCTCGCTCTGGCGCAAGCTCATTATCCAATAGCTCAGGCCGAGATTCCCAGTCTTCATCGCTTGGAAAACCTAGTCCGATTAGCTCGCCGTTTGCAGCAGTCAAGTTCGTGTATGTTTTGCTCAAAGTACAGTTCGACACGCTAGGGCAAGGAGGGAGCTCGAGATAAGACGTGAGGATCACCCAGATCATCGAGATACAAAGGCTTATAATTAAGCTTTGCATGCAATATGCCATGGAGTCAACCACTACGTTCGCGATTGACGTCTTCAACATCTGGGCTTTTTCCTCAGGCGGAAATGGTCCGTCGAAGAAATCCTTTCCTGACTGAACAAGATCTTCTTCGCGATCTTCCGAGTTATCTGCGTTGTGCTGGCCCCGGACATCTTCCCGATCGAACTCCACTACCTTTGCGAGTTGGTGTGCTGTTTCCTTGCGATATTCCGCTTCCAGCTCAGTAAATATTTGGCGAAGATTGTTCCTGTTACTCTCACAAGTGGTTGATGAGACCGGATAGATCCGTGGTAGCCAGTTTATAGCTTGTTGACCAGGAAGTTTGACCTTCCAAGCCACACCAAATGTATTCAGATCTTTGGGAGAGCAAATGACCTGGAGGTAAGAAACTCCGACTGGAATTCCTTTGTTTTCCAAGTTGATCATCTGCAGGCCCGTCTCCTGAGGCTCAAGCCGGCAATGAAAACGACCGTCAGGCCCGCCATCCAAACGTAGGAAGAAGCAACACTTTTCCGCCCAGAAACAGCGATTATGCAGCCTCAATGAGCACATCGCAATGTAATTTATTATCACATCCGCTTGCATGCCATTGTCCTCATGATCGGCGCTGGCAATGACTTGGTGGTCGGCTCGAATCTCCTGGTCCACGGTGAAGTCCTTGACAATGCCGTAGAATTTCTGGTCGCAGACCCGTAAAGGAACGACAAGGTCTCCGTGGTTGACGAATTCAGCGAAGAAGCAGTTCTCCACAATCTTGTAGCGCTGCAAGTTGGTAGTGCGGAACTCTAAGCCATGGTTCTCAGGGATCTGAAATAGGAAAAATCCACTCTCGCCAGCCCTCATCCTAGGAAGACCAGGAATGACCAGATTACTCCATCCTTTCGACTTGTCTTTCTCAAGAAGGACAGACACAGTCACGGTGAACTTGTAGATTGCTGGCCTTACATTTTCGGGGTTTCGAATGCAGAGGATTCCATCCTCAAAGTCGAGCTTGGGCTCGTTCATGGACGATTGGTAGTCTTCCAAGTCACAGGCTAGGTGATCATTAGGACCATGCGCCAGAGTTTGGTCCGCATCATCGTGCTCGGGAACTGGGGTTTTGGTCATGTCTCGATGGGATGTATGGCTCAATGTTTCCGGCTCAACACGTTGGTCAATGGTGATTGTCGGACCCTCGGGCTCGGTTTGAATACAAAGACCATCTAGGACATCGTGCATGCCAAGGGCTGACACAGGGAAGTCCTTTTCAGAGTTAGATTTTGTGCCCTTAGCGACCTCTGCAGCTACCGGTTCATTCGCTTCAAAAGCGCCTGGAAATTCCTCAGAAATCGACGTGACGATGAAGTCTGGGTCTCCCCGCTTTCTGCGGAATGTTTCAGTCATACTGGCCTGGGTTGGTGTGGGAGCATCTCTCTCTTCAGTAGGCTGTTTACTATGCGCAGCGGTTGATGTATCCTGCAACGCATTTGGGGCTGCAATAGAGACTGTTCCTCTCACCATGTCCTTGTCCAGCCGAGTTACGGGCTTTGGGATCATGCTAAGTGTTCTGGAATGTTTCCTGGGAGAGTTTCGCTCTGAAGACTGAATTGAAGACTGGAGCGTTCTTTCCTTCCCCTCGCTTGCATTTTGAGTTCGCTTATGAGGCTCCGAGGCTGATTTAACACCGCCAGAATCAGACCCAGAATCAGTAAGGGATGCGTCAGATGCACTCCTCTTCCGACCTGGGTTCTGCGTCTTGATCCAATCGGCACAATCTGCAACGTTCAAGCGAAGTTCAGAAGAGAGATCGGGTGGTGAGGAGAAGAGGTGTGACGAGGGCTCAAGTTCCTCGTCGTTGCCGCAGTCTGCGATACTTTCAACGGAAGAAAACACAGTTGCATCCTGAGAGCTGGTTGGGGATTCTCTCGCTGCGGTAAAGAGATCTCCCTCTGGAGTGCGGGAGTTGTAAGAAGTGGTACCGTCATCAGACTCTGGTGCGGAAAAAGCGAACAATGGGCTTTGAGGCGAACTGTCACTCGACTGGTTTCCTTGGCCCCATTCGTTAGACCGCAGGCGGATGGAGAAGGTCTTGATGAGAGATATGTTTGCAGATCTGGTGCTGAGAAGCTGAAGTTGTGTGTTTGGGACGCATCGAACCTGTGTTGACAGAAAGAATGACAGAGATCAGTACGCAAGTCCATCAAGAAAGGTACGGGAATCAATATCCAGAGATATCAGCTTACCTCAAGGGAGATTCTAAGGACTACCGGCTCAAGCTCATCGCCATTCCAGGTACCTCGTATCTCCAAACAGCTGAACTCGGGCGACCGCTGAGGCAATGAGCTCACATGGGCCTCGCCCCGTTTTGCTGGAGAAGCCATGTGCTTTCTGACACACCTATCTGCCCTTTAGTTAGCTATCACGGAGATAAATCCCAGCCCCAATGTATCTATCGTCGAAAAGGGCAGAGCGATTGAAGGACCGAAGACGGTCACGATGCACTGCGCTGGGAGAAGGTTGCGCAAGCTAAGGTAGTGGAGGAAAAAGGATGATGAAAGTGAATGAGGTGAAAGTCAGGGAAGCAACGGCCCAAGACACACACGCTCTTTGGTCCAGGAAGGGAAGGAACGCTGTGTTTATACTAACCTGAGGCACCTACGCATGACAATCGCTAAGAACTCTTTATCGTTGTCTGTCGTTCCATACCTTGTCTTAGGAAAGACTTCAAGCTATGCACCTCTTTCCTAAGGGCGCATCTTAACAGGGATGACTTTATATCCTTCAACGATTATTGCCAGGATTGATAATTCAACAGTTGCCCTGAGTGAGCAGACTCAAATGCTAGCCTCCTCACCGGACCGGGACATGCAGGTCCTGATTCGGCACAGCCAATATGTACAAAGAATATTTGAACGCCGTCACTCAGACGCGAACAATGGCAGAGAAGGAATAGAAAGAAGCAAAGTGAAAACAAGAATCAGAGAAACCCGCCAGCACGGTCACTCCTGTTTTGTCCCATGCGCCATGTATAACCCCGCCAGCCACCGATTCAGTTCCCGTAAAACACCCGCCCATCGGTCTATCCAAAACAGAAACGTGATAAAGATAGAATCAAACAGAAAGCAGAAACAAATACAGTCCTCCGAGAAAGGCCCCTGCCAACCCAAAAGACTTTTTTTTCCCCGATGGAGTATAAGAGTGGTAAAAAGACATCAGCCGAAGAAAGTGTAAAAGAGCAATCCGTATTCGCGTAGACCAATTATCGGGGTGTCCCATTATGTGAGCCAGGATGCTCAAAGGTTGTCTGACCGGGCGCAGCACCATATCGATCCCCTTCAGTTGAGCCCATGGGTTGTGATGGGAGAATAGGAGTTGCACCTTGCGATGCCTGATCGAAGTAACCTCGTGCGGATGCACCGTTAGCCCCTTGTGGGTAATTGCGATTTCGTTGCAAAGGTGGTAAAATTGTAGAACTGGTTTGGTACTGCTGCGATCGCGACTGGGGATATCCTTGCGGCATCATGGCGGCCGTCGAATCAGCGGTCTATTTCAGAAAAACAGAAAAATCCTTTAGCTCTCGTCTTTAGGGGTCATTGGCTTGTGGAGGGTCCATACAGGAGTACCAGGTTGATTCATCATGCCTAGAGATTGCATCGTTGCTTGCTGGCTGGAGCGTGCTTGGGCCGCTGGATCCTGCATCTGGGCCACTTGAGCGGATGGCGGGATCCCATACGAAATCTGCGCATCAATGTAAGCAGGTGTTCGAGTTTGCGCCATATTACCGGGTCCCGGGGATTTCACTGCAACCATGGACTCCACCGGGGAACCGTAAGATGACAGAGAAGCCACGGCAGGTTGTGGTTGACGAACCGCATAATCTGGTACTCCTGCATGTCCCGCAGGATATCCTTGCATCATAGGGGTCTGGTATGTTCCTGGCTGATTCGGATACATGGCGGTTGTTTGTGGATACGCGTCTACCTGGCGCATCCGACCTTCGGCGTCATAGATGCCTCTGTTCCCGTAGTCCACAGACGTCCGCTGACGTTTGACCGGTGTCCCGTAGTATGCATAATCTCTGCCTGCTGCCGGATAGCCAGTGAAAGCGTTCCCCGACATCTGTATTGAAGACCGGTCTGGGGAGCGAGGCAGCTGCTGCTGGGGATACTCTTCCGGCCGTGGCGGCCGTTTCCTGACAAAAAGAAGTCAGCCTTATCTGTTATGGGGCCAATCTGAGGTGCGCATCTCGCTGAGTACTTACAGAGACAGTGTGCGGGGCTCTTTTCTGATCCGTAGTTTGACACCCTGGTCGGCAAATGACCGAGAAAGGAACGTGGACTCTTGCATCCCAGGAAAAGTCTTTGGTGGCGAAACTGCACCCTGTTAGTCTGCACCACTCGCAGAATCAGTTGCGCAAGATAGTCTTACCAGTGAAGCGATCAGAGATAATGGATTTCAGGTAGGTAACCACGTCCCTACACGCGGGGAGATCAGCGTTCTGTCATACTTATCAACAAACAATGAAGGAAGGCAGAGATTGCTCACTTTCGCATCTCAAACAAGGTAAACTTCAGTCGGAACTCCCCTTCGATTTTGACTGACAAATCTCCAAATACAAAGAATCCGCCGTCTGCGCCGCGCGAGTCAGCAACGAAGCAGAACCACCTTTTACACACAAAAGTAGGCTTACCATTATTATCCACATCCTTCAACCGGTGAAGCGACGAGACAAGAGTGCCTGCCAAAGCAGTGGCCGGCGGTACGGGAACTGGCTGATCTTCATTGGCATCGTACAGACTGCAGCACATGAAATAATATGGGCTCTGTAGGTAGTGTCTACTCATGCAAATTAGCCCGAGAGTTTCCCCAACAATCCGAGACAAGCTCCCATTGTGACTTACTGCGCGAGATAGCTCCCTTCCTCTCTTACCCGGAGTTGCACAATCGGCGGTGGATCGACTGGCTTGCGTTCTGAAGAGCAAAATCCCTATGTCAACATCTGTTTGATCCCAAAGGAGGCTCGATGATAGCCATAAGTAGAGAGCCTGCAGACTCCCACGTACCTTTTTCCTTCCCACCGGCCACGCGCGCCCGATTGGGCTGCTGGCGAATGATCAACTCGAAGTCAGAACTGGTGTTGGACAACATTGTCAGTTGGAGACCCTGGACAGCTGAGTAAGAGTCGAGAAGACCATCCCGGTGCGAAGGAAGGTCGGACAAACCTCTGGGATTCGCGGGAAAGAGAGGCGTCTGAGAACGTCGACGCACTCATCAAGGCGAAGGTCTTGTCACACAAGTACCAAGTAGAGTAGAGCCAGAGGATCGGTTGTCCGTCAGAAGAGCGCGCAACGAACCACGTACGTATCGTACAGGGTTCACCAAATTCGAGCAAAGACGGATAAATGCACAACGCAAGAATATGTGGTTTTACAATACCAAGGGAAAAATGAGATAATAGGCTGGAGATTTCGGCTCTCTCTGGAACCTTGCAGCGGACACTTGTGGTTCGACGGAGCACTAAGGCAGGTAGAATAAAAAAGGACGATCCCTAGTAGTAGTAGTACCCAGTGGGGTGAAGGGACAGGTCCAGAGAAGAGGGGAAGAGAGGCGGAGGAATTGTCGTTGGTTAAAGACGGACACGACAGAGTATGATTGATTGATGATTCTAAGTAGTAGTTAGAGAAATGGAACTGGTCCAAGGTCCAAGTACCATGGGTGGAGACGAGACGAGCTGTGGGAATTTCAATACCAGCAGCTCTAAGTCCGGAACCGCTTTGAGCCTTGAGAAGCTGAGCAGGGCAGCTACCTTACAGTAGGTACCTTAGGTCGTGCGGGTGAGGTAGGTGGTGTTGTGCGTAAGCTGGCAAGTGGTAGTGTGATGGGTCAATTCCGTCGCTTGCCTCTTTTTCCTTTTTTTCTTTCTTTTTTTTATTTTTTTAACTTGATTTTTTGGTCTTAATTTTTTTTTTTTTTTCCCTCTTCCTTGCCTTGGGTGTGATGGAAAAAGGCGGTTTACGAAAACGGCGCCGCAGGGACCCAAGGAACAGTTCGAATGTAGACTGAGAGAGGATGGATGGTGTCGTCAGAATGCAAGCGGCAAGAGCCAGCCGAGCACGGTTCCAGACAAACCTTAACCTGGGCCTCGAGGAAAGAACTGACGGATTTGCACAGTCCAGCAAAAAAAAGGAAAAAGGAAAAAAATTATAAGAAAAATGTTGTAAGGTAGCAGTTCAAAAATGAATATTCTCTTGTCTGTTTTCGCTCTCGTGACGACGATGTAGATGTCCAGGGATACGAAAGATGATGGAAAACGAGCGAAGAAAAAGCGAAAAGACGAAGATTCGAGACAACCGTTGCCGACCGTATATGTTCGATGCTTGCGATATGGGAGCGCGAACGCTCTTTCTGTCCCTCTTCTTGTTTATCTTCCCTTCTTCTTGATCGTCGAAATGCTCGAATAATATGACGATATAGAGTAGGGTGGAAAAAATTTGGATGGTCAAAGGATAAAGCAAGAAGGTTATTGGGTGTGGTTCGGGCGGGATCAGAAGACCGCTTCAGCCCAGTGTTGAAAGAACACAGCTGAACAATGGGTCAAAAGTCGCCTCCCACAGGTCTGAGGGTCTCTTGACACACAGAAATCCAAGCGAAGAAGGCGAAAAAAAAGAGGAGAATTTTACTCGAGCTTTGAGATACCCAGCTGAACCAGATAATGATAATGTGTTCCGGTGGAGTAGTACCAGGACAGTAGGCCAACGCCCGTCACTTTTTCGGCCGGCAGTCCAGTCGTTCTTGAAGTTGAGGGAGAATCGTTACCAGTCGGGTCGACACTCGACCACGGTTGAGAAAACGGGCTAAGGCGTGTATCAGTCTTGATCATCCGACAGGAACCGTAGAACGTCTGAAGATGATGCGCACATTGGCACGCCTCGAGGGGTAGGAGGATTGAATGCTCGAATGAAACGAAAGAACAGAGGAGGGAGTGCAACCAGGATCTGAGATTCAGTTCGGAGCACCTGCGCAAGCCTCAAACTTTACCCTCGTCTAGGCCGGATCGATTGGGGCAGTTGATCGAGCTAAGCATGAAATCCACCGCGTTTGCGGCAAACCATCACTGGCTTCCCCGAACAAAGCCCCAACCCACAGGCGCAACGGTTTGCGCGGAGATAGAGCCGATTATGCAAGCGATCAGACCCGTTTTCCTCACTATCTAGACGCCGCGCAGGGTCTCCCGGCTCCCTTGCAGACGCCAGAGCCGCAGAGCGTGGGAGCGTTGCTGCCKGTGCGCGCGCCTAAGCATTCCAGTCTGAGTCTGGTCGCACAATTCCCATCGCTTATTCGTTCCACCCGAAAGTTTGATCGTCTCTTAGACTCTTGACCGGCAGTTGGGGTAAATAATCGCCTTCGTAGATCCGTTAGTCTCCTTTTCCCTCTTCGATTCCCCCTGGCTCCGTCTAGGTTGTTTCCTTCAACGTACTCTCTGAATCAATCAACAATGCGCTCATAGTCATAAGAGAAGAACCAAGGGAACAGAACATACCTTAAATCCTCTTGTTCCCCTGATGTCGATCCAATGGGTTCCGTGTTCCAATTGAGCTAGGATCCAAGGGAAGGAGCTCACTTCCAGTAACGAGAAACCCAGGGCACCAAGGCCCACTCGATAACCGTTGAAAATCCCGTCCGATACTGAGAGAGTTGTTCATCAACAAATAAACAATGACCTTGCTTCTCCTGGTCGCTCAATGGAATTAAGATATCCTTCTGTGTCGCGAGTCTCTTGTCCGTCAGCGCCAGGTGATTGTCGGAGGATTCTCTCCTGTCCCTCGAAATGCGCTCCAGCCAGGCCACGAGATGCCGAACCACTTTTCTCTTCGCTTACGGCTGAACCAAGTCAAGCCTTCTTCCTTTCACCCTAATGAGTTCCACTGTTCTCAGCTCGATCACCGTCAGTCTAGACAAAACACCGGTTCGGCTGCGTCAGGGAAACAGTCTTCATGCAAGGGAGTCCTTGCGTGGGGGATAAGGGGTTAATCGGATATCGGCCAACAAGACTTCTGGTCATATAGAGGGAGTGAATTGTTCCACCAGAGATCTGGAGTAGAAAGTGGGAGCGGGGTGCCTTTTTCTCACGGCGCGCTTTGTGCAATGAGGGTCAGGTCGCAAATGGCCAAAACTCGCATGACCTTAGCCTGGGTCCTAGGGATCTAGCTCGGTGGATGTATCACATTGGCTTCTCTAGACATGCAGGATGCGATGGCTGCACGCAAATCACAGTGCTGAGAGCATAGTTCACCTCCTAGTGCATGCAGCTAAATTGACGAGGCCAAGGGGTCAACAAGTCAATATGATGCAAATCGACAGATCTCTTGATCGACGAACCACCCGAGTGCAGTAGTATGTGGTCAATGTGTGAGATAGATTTTCTGCAGCCGAGATGCTGACCTTACTGAAAAAGTGCTGAGCTACGCTGGCCTTCCCCACCCCAAGGGTATAGGTCCTTCATGCACGCTGCGTCTGAAGAGTCCCAATATCGGTAGTGCGGCTGAGTATTACACCTTTCTCTTTGCCATACAGCGAACGGGGCCTTCTTTAGTCGCTTGACCTTCACCATTTACCTCTCACAAAGTCGACGCGCCAATGTCCCGGACAAATACGAATTGCTGCAGCTGCACTCAGCTGCTGTCACCTGCAAAAGTACTTAGAATAGCAGGAAATCCACAATAGCTGCTCGCGAAATCTTGGCCTCACTGCGCTGGCTCATCAACAGTTTGGTCCCTTCATTAGCAGCAAATTCCGGCGCGGGTTGACGACGATGGAATCGATGTGCCACTTTGTGTAAATCCATGAAACCCAACGTTGACGTGACGATGCGGGCATAGCAGTATTAGTCCAATCTGAGCGCAAGTGAGGACGACGCTATTGGCGACAAACACGCAAGGGTGGCATGGCGCCAATGCCTGCATATGTAAAAACGCCGTGACGAATGAGAATCCGACGGAGGGTTGAATATTCAATAATATCAAGCCGCTGAACGATGATTCAATTCCGGGAAATGGTACAAAGCAATCATGACAATCAATACAACGAGTCCAGGAAGAACAGATGATCCATCCACTGACATTCTGGGCTGGGTGTGACAGTGACCCTCGAGGGTCGGGACGACGGGACGCTGCGGTATAATTAAGTTAAAGACACAAGGTTATCAAGCACTGACCAATATCCATATTGCAGTTGAGTGATTCCTGGAAACAACTTTCTGGACGCCAGTTATTGTTGTGTTCGCAGTTGGTCAAAATCCTACCGTACCCGCGCGAGCCACGTTGCAATGGCGTAACATGCTGCATACGAGCACAGCCATCATTGTTGATTGTTGATCCATGGCGCGCGAGATGTCAATATTTTCTGCCTTTTCTGTTTGGAAAACAGCTCCGGCCAAGGCTTTGCGATCTGCACCGTGGATAGGAGAACGCAACGAAGTTTCAGAACTTTTCTTCCTACGCTGTCACATCTGAACAAGTCGAGATCGAGACAATAGGGGAGAAGAGAGACGGCGGGAAAAGAAGGGGGGAAAAAAGAAAAGAACAGAAAAGAAAATAAGCACACTCTGGACTCAAATCAAGCGGCGAACGATTTTTAGCCTTTTAATTATGCTGGCTTCTACTTTTGTCCTACTACATATTGAAGTGGGGATCAAAAGCTGCAGGATGAACTGTCACTCCAGCTGGTCTAGCACAATGGCACACACACTCGAATTGTCTACCCCCTATTCCACTGGATCTCCGTTTATACTTGTCCCCTGGACTAACCATGCTAGCTCCATGTCTTCAACAGAATCAGATTCATGGTCTAGATAGCAGTCGTTGGAGGTCTGGTTTTACCAGGTAAGTATTGCATTCGCACCTAACTTGGCGCTTTTTCCATAGAATCCACCAAGTATCCACGGAGGATAATTCACAATTACCAGCCTGTTCTGCCTGTATCAGCAAGAAATGATCTGCAGGGTCAAATTACCCAGCTATACATTTGTTTAAAGATACTCTGTAAAGGACTTCCTGAACAAAGGGAAGCAGGAGAATATCAAAAAGACGATGAACAGGTCCAAAGCCCTCCAAAGCCGGAAGTACTCACAGACTTTTCCCCACAGACTCACAGCGGAAAAGAAAGAGGTCATTATGACTGATCGTACAAATCAACGGATGGGTCAAAGACCGATCATGAGTCTTGTGAACTCTCAATTCTTTGACAATCGAGACTCGGAACAGGCAACCGACAACAGAGCATGCTAACCATCAAATTCCTTGCTCCATAGGCAAGGGACACTTAGACCTGTCGCAGATAGCTACAGTTTAGGAACGGTGTGGTCGTTAAATAGCACTCAACAGTACCTTTTATTACCTGCGGACTTGATAGGTGTATCTATATGTAGCACTGCCCATGCCAGTGATTCATGGCGCCCCAGCTAAGACTCTAAGCTCCTGGAGTTGCCTTCCTGGCTCCTGCATAGTCTTGAAGTACTGCGCACCACTAGCCTACCTACCTACCTTAGTATCCTACTCAATCAGCTACGCTGCAGTCATCTCCATCATGCACGACGATCAAAAGAAAAGTCAAAATCACACTTATTTCCTGGTTCTTGCACAACGGTATCCGTATTACCACTCCGCATGGGGCCCTTGATCTGCAGCTAAACCAAGACGGAGTTGTCCACAATGCTTAAGCCTGGTTCGGCCGTCACTCTTCGTCTCTGTATGGCTCAACACATCCAAACTTGCGAAAAAAGTACCGACAGTCATTCCTCGAGTCTATTCCATTGAATGAGCAGATAGATTTAATGCATCAATACCTTCCTTACTGCTGTACAAGAGTCTTTCATAGTGCCCAATGTCGCACTGTGAGAGCCACTGCCTTGATCTTAGGGCATCCACGCTCACTTCTAGGTCGCTCGGGTAATAAGTAGTTGAATATAAATGACGAAGCGACGTATTAATAATCTTTAGGACCAGGATCTCTAAGATATGAGCACCTTACTTAAACGCACCCTGTGGACAATCTGCTTGGTTACTATGACCGTATGCGATCGAAACTCAAACAGCACAATGTAAAATTGGCTTCGTTGGTATATGCTACACAAATGCAGATGGGAGCAGAGAAACCCAAAGCTGCCATCGTAGAAAACGAACTTATGAACGCGACCTCTAGAACAGAAGCTCCTCGGATCATGACATGCGGAAGCCAGAAGAGAGGCAGCCGTGCAGCAATGAAAAAAGACCGCGAGGACGGAATTAGGTAGGGCAAGAAACCAGCGCACGACGCGCCAAAACAGCGCTGCGAAATGAATCGATTGAAGCCATGACCGAAACGCCAAATGCTCAGCCTACTCCTTGCTTGATGAGAAGGATACATGAAAAGAATAAGAAGTAAAAAGCCAGGAATTGAAGTGAGGAACCCTCCTGCATGAACTCGAATAACGCCCCATGCAAATGCGTCGTCAAGCGCCTTCAGAGACCGAATGGTCTTACCGCTTGTGTTTTGTCTTCCCCTTTACTATCTGCTTTTCAAGCGCGTCATGTTTGCATGACTGCGTCGCCATCGGCGTCCGTAGCGGCAATGTTGTTTTCCTGAGGCGCGTCATCATCTGGGATGATCTCCACGACCGATTTTCGGCTCGCTGACCGCGATAGCTTCCCTCTGTTCTCGGCTCCCCTTCCCTTGGGTGTAATCGGGCCGTCGGAAAGAGAGACATCGGCATTTGACTTGGCTACAACGGCGCCCGAACTACGAGTCCCATTGATAGTGTGATTTGGGGTGCCTGCTTCCGGCTCGGACGGTGCGGCATCCTGGGGCTCTGTATCTTGTGCTTCTTCGGACCCATCTTGCAAATGATGCTCGCCATTTACAAGCCCATTGATCTTCGCGCTGGACGGCTCTGGAGCAGGGGAGTCCATCAGCTTGGCGCTCCGACCCCGCCGAACACTACCTGAATTCGAAGTTGGCGTCGCCGAGGCCAACATTGAGGTTCTGCGGGGAGTACCGCGACCACTCGTCCGGGCACTTGTGGGGGTCGCGCCCCCCTTAAACACGCTCTTACTGCCAAACGGTCGTCCCGGCTTTCGTTTGAATACAGGAGCTTGAACAGGAGGATAAATTTCGAATCTAGAAGGAGGAATGCCCGCGGCGGGGTTGGAGGGAGCAGAGGTACTCGAACTCGCTGTAGCAGTCGCTTGGTGATGGAAACCGCTGGTGTTAGAGAGCGCTTGGGTTGACGGGGGCCCAGCGGCCACAGTAGAACGACCCCCAGAGTCGGCGTGTCCCGTCCAGCTGGCCGTTGGAACGACCGCACTATCGGTCTTCTTGACTTCTTCGCCTTCCTCCTCTTCCGGGTCTTCCCTCTGTGCAACGGTGTGCAATGGAGCCCGGTCAAATTGTGACTGATTGCTACGACCCATAATGTATGGTGTCCAGACCAAAGCATCTGGGTTCAGCTGGACGTAGCCTTTCTCCTCCCAGTTCCGGATACAATCTTCAAAATATTTGCAGTCGAGTCGCAATGCATAGGTTTTGGTAATTGGATCCCTGACAAGGGCGCGTAAGCCTTCCAAACCAGAGACCACATCATCGGCCGTCATGCCTGTTCGCTCTGAAAGCTCCGCGATGCTGATAGGAGTTTTTTGGTTTCGTAATTGATACGACAGTATCAATCGCCAGTAGTTGCGATAGGACACCAGGCCCATGTCGGAAAGAGGTTTCTCTGGTGAGCCGGTCTTACCTTCAATGCGAGTGAGCAGGTATGAGAAGTCGATAAGCAAATTCCCGTAGCCTTTTCTTTGATGGATGGGCAGTGTGAGAATGCACGAAACATTGTTTGCCGAACTGGGCCGTTTTTCCTTGCTGAAATAGCCGACAAAGTGGCAGCCCAGATCGTCGAATTCAGTCATGACATAAAACAGGAACGGCTCCACGTCGTAGTAGAGCGTTTTGGATCCCAAGAACAATTTGGCGAGCAAGCAAAGATTCTGGCAGTAGACCGGGTTCTTTCGCCCGTCGACCTCGAATATTGAGATGGAACCATCTCGGTAAATTTCATCCCCTGGGGGATGTTTTGCCGGGCATTTCAGCTTGTGCCGCCAGGCCACATAGTCTGAATTCATATATTTCAAGCAAAATTCGCAGATGTAGAGCACCCGGTTGCGACTATATTCTTCAGGGTAAGGAGCTGCATACCAGGTCTCAATCTCGTATCCTCCAAAGTTAATGTATTTAATCCTGGACGGAGGACCCGAAAGCTTCTGGGAAGCGTGCGGGACGGCTTCTCCGCTGTTTTCAGCTTCCAAGAGCTTCCTTTGCCATTCCTCTTCGGCCTTTTGTCGCGCGATCTCGAACTTTTCACGATCTGCGTGTGTCGGCAGGGTCCTTGAGGTGTCCGCATCCGCTTCCGACAGTATACCGCCGTACGGCTTTGACTTTGATTCGTCCGTTTCGCGGTCGTTGAATGAGTAGAAGGGGGAAATGTAGGGTGCAGGTGTAATGGGAGCAAAATGGGATAGAGGTTCTTGTACCGCTGGTGGCGGCTTGGGCGTTCTTCTGCCTCTGAGTTGTGACCGGCTCCGAGAGTTGAGAATTTTGGACACTTTGTTTTCATTGAGACGAAAAGCGAGGACCAGTCTTCCAAATTGCCTCAAAACCACGCGGCAGGTATCCTTTTCCTCGCCGCGCGTTCGCCGAGAACGGGTACGCACCGGGGACTGACCGTCTGTATTTCCAAAACCCTGGTCTCGGGACTCAGCCCGAGCGGATCGCATTGATGATTGCCGTCGCAATTTTCGAAGTCCAGATGTGGGTTCTCCCACGTCGGTCGACGAGGCTTTCCTTTTCCGCAATGATCTGGAGCTGGTTAAGAGCTCATCGCTGACGTCCACGGTGCTGAAAATTGAATGAAACCCAGAATCTTTCTCTCCAGTGTGTGCCGGTAAGAGTTCTCTGCGCATCTTCTTTTGACGAGGTTGTCGCAGGGTTGTACCATTCTGCTCAGTACTAGGCTGCAATTTCTCCCGAACGCAAGTAGGGCATCTCCATGGACCAGCGTCTGTACAATGTCAGTCCCAAGGCAAGGCGCGACGAAACCAGGTAGAGAAGATGAATCGCTTTGAACATACCTTCTGTCTCATCGAGTGCATTCTGTTCGCGCGCACATTGTCGATGAGCTGTAGAGAGTTATATCAGCGACAATTCTTCAAGGTTGGCTCGAAAAGGTGCAACGTACAATGGTCACCACAGACGGTGCAGGTTAAATACTCTTCGAACTCCTCGCTGGGATCATTATCCTCGTCTTGACCGCAAAAGCTGCATTTCCCGTCTCAGCATCAGACCAGATCACAAGAGAGTGGACATGGGAAGAATAATGAACTCACATGCAATTGCCGCGAACAGTGGTATCCACCTCCGCATCCTCCCGGCTATTACTCTCTGCCTCCCAGTCCTCATCGGCCTCCGATTCTGAACTGCTTGACGAGGCAGCGGGTGCATCGCTGTCACTTGGATTCTCAAATGCCGGATCATCTTCTGCATCGGCAGCCGCAGAAGCAGCATCATCGTTGTCAAGAGAGCCAGCTGCGTCAGGCATCTTGACGGCACCAACCGGTTCTGCATCATCATTATCCCCGTTGATATTTAGCTCCGTATCAGGCTCCCCCTCTGCATCTTCGTCTTCATCGTAATCGGCATCCTGATCCACCTCGGCGGTCTCCCCAGAGTATGCCTGATGGACTGCATTTTGTAGCTGCTGGTCCATCTCATAGAGGTCGGTCTCCTCTTCCCCTTCTGCGTCCTGATCACTGTCCACCATATCTGCTGGCGATCTAGTCTCTGGATCGTCGATGGCCGGCAGCACGGTCGCCGGCATGGTGTAGGTCGCCGTAGTCGCCAGTTTGAGCGATTGTGTTTCACGGATCTACCAAGGTTTCGCGATGTTTGAATGAGAAGTTGAGGTTATAGAAGCTTCCCGCTAGGGCGCACAATCATCTGGCCGCGCATGAACGGGACATGGGGGACAAAACGACGAGCTGATTTGAAGGCAGTATTCCAACAATTCAACGTGCCAATCGGTCAAGTCGTAGCATACGTCGTAATCAAGCGTCAGAGACGGATGCGCCAGCAAGACAAGCGCGGAGGGTGCCAAGTTGGAGGCGCTGGAAGGAGGCGGCCAAGACAACAAGCAAACAACGCGTGTAATGAAGGAACTAGAGACGTGATATCAGAGGCGCTAGTAGATATGCGAGAGTAGAGCAATAACCAACGCGTAGATTCGCAGCGGAAACGCCGTTTGTGGAGTTATTCAGCTTCCAAAGCCATCTGCCGCCGCTTCACGCCCCTTCTCTTGCAGTGAGGTTCACGGAGTTGCTGACTCATCCACATTGACCCCGGTTGGGCTAAACCGCTTTAGGAAGTCATTCAGACCTCGACGTTGCGGGATCCAGCGGGCACAAGAAACGGCGCTGGGAATCATTCTGGTCTGCTTTTTACGCAATTGAAGCGGTCCGTTGACACCTGGCTCAATCTCTCTGGGGCCTTTTCTGATCTTGCAACGAATTGAGGATTTGTATTTCACAAAATGGGTGTCCCTTTCGAAGCCCTTATCCCCTATGGGATCATCGTCGCTGTGTGTATCCGCAACCCCCGAGCAGGCCAGCACGAATTACTGATGGATAGTGACAGATGTTCGGCGTGACCGGGGCCGGTCTCACAGCTGCTAAGTACTTTGGAAACGAAGGGAAAAAGGCGCGGTGGAACAAGGATCTGTGGGACAGAGTAAGTGCTTCTTCGCCTGTGGCTTGCGACCGAGTGAGCAAGTTGGCTAATATCCATCTAGCAAAGTACGTGACCTACCGCTTACAATACTTGCAATTTATCTCCTTGTTTACCCAGCCGACGTCCCGGAAACTGACGATATATATCTGCCATAGTGATGGAGAGAGACTTGAGAATCACAGGAACTTTACGAGGCCAGTCAGGCAATGCCGTAGCGCCAAAGGGATTCGATGTCAGCAACCCGTGGAAGGTATGTCATATCGTCGGCTCATTTCGTTTATCCCGGTAAGGCGCATTGCTCACCTCTCTACAGCTTGAGAAACGGATTTTCTAGGTCACGGCAACGTGTCTCCGCTTCATGTCTTTACACCATTTGTTTTAGCTTGTGTTCGCTTGCATTTCCTAAATCAATATCCACGCTACGGTCCTAGAGCAACGTTGTTTGTACAATATCACCGGGCAAGTGAAACGCTGCAAAGCTAGTTTTCAATTGTCAAAAGAATTCTATTTGATCTGCGAGCTCAAGCCCTGTATTCCTTCAACTTCATAATCCTGGAAGTGCATATCGAAATACTTCGCCAGCGCTTGTCTCCGATCATCTTCGTTTGCCAGTGTGGCCACAACTTGTGTCTCCTTACCCAGCCTTTTCTTGACTTCTTTTCCTGACATCACATATAAGCCTCGGGGTTCGAGTCCACCCTCGCTCAGAATAACCTTGGTACAGACAAACGCCTGGGTAAACCAGCTGTCCGGCTTCTGGCTTGTCGCGAAGTTCATCACTGCAAAGTCCTCTGCCAGGAATTCAACTTCCGAAAAGGAGTACGACGGGATCCATTCGCTTTCCGGGTCATGCCTGACCTGGTAGATCCAGAGCTTCTGGCTCTTGTCGACGAAGTCGGGGATGCTGTCCTTGATCAGGCGCATCTCACCGGGTGCAATACAGACTGCAACCTCGTTTTCCTTCAGTGGCAGCGGACTGGTAGGGCCATTGCTGCCGAACCCAACGTCGACCTTTTGCGAGCCCAGTTAGTAGCTGCCCGCGATGAGATTCTCAGCAGGAGACACCTTACCATGTACTTCTGGCCATCAATGGTCACGATGAGAACCATGTGTCCACTGCGTCCGGCGTCAGCGAATGCGACTCTATAGATTTTAGAAGATCAAGTTACATACAGCCACATGTATCCCGCCGCGGCATTGTTCCCAGTGGCTACCGCGCGACTAACTCGGCCTCCTGTGGGATAGACCTGGTAGCCCAGTGACCGTAGGACGACATAAAGCAGGTTGGTGTTCTCCATGCAGTACCCGTCTAGTTTGCGGGTGACCAACTTTTCAAACACACACGTTGGATGGACGGAGATCGCGCGCAGCTGGGAGTAATGCAGACCGGAATTTCCCCATGGGATGGCGCCCAGATGCCGCCTCTGCAGCTCGGTCAGTGCGGCCAGCGGATCTTTCTCGATGCATTGCTGGAGATGTTGTTGCCTGGTGATTCCAGATGTACTGGCGGAGTCCGCGTACCCGATGCGCTGCAGATAGGCCTCTATCTGATCAGGAGTATATGTAGACGGTGGCGATGTCATGATGGAGTGCGATGATCTATGAGACCATGAGGAAGAGAAAGGCTATGTTATCTGCATAAATATTCAAAGCCAAGGTAGTCTCGTATTCTTAAGTTATGATTACCAAGCGATAGTTTGTCAGATGAACAGGCCCAGATTTGGCGCGTGAAGCCGCCAAGATTCGCCCTTCGGGTCGCCGATTAGAGGCGAGCCGACGATGGTCGGGAGAAGATATCTCCTGGACAAGAGAATGAGTGTGTCATATTAAGGAGTAAGTAGAGTCAGTATGATTCAAGAACTATTTATTTTGATCTTTTTTAGCAAAAATTCGATGCCTGTAGAGCAATCGCAATGACGGTGCCTCCATGGTTCTGGTTCCCCCGCGTTTTAACCCCGCGGCAGAATGAGAATCATGAATGTATCAGGACGGACCATGTAGATTGGTATTGAATAGTCATGAAGATGACAGGTCCGCATGGATAGTGTACTCCATATTTGGATGGGAAGCATGTCTCCTAAGGTTGACTTGGATGGTAAAATGGATCCAGATTTCTATACGTCTTTAATAGAGTATGATATTGCTGGTTTATCAGATCCTCGGCTGTCAGTTGCAGGAATGGGAGACATCTGACCGTGAATGGTCGATGTCACTACCTAGTCTCTGCTAGTCACATTACACAGAAGTTTTATTCCAGATGATTAGAAGGACAGACGCAGAGAGCCATAGAGAGGTATTGTATGAGCCAATGCAGCTGAAATAAAGACGTTCTCAGCAAGAAGACTGCTGGTTCGAGGAACGGACAAACGGACAGTCGCATCTACACTGCCCCCAATCTCGGATCTCCATCTTCATCCCAGCACGATCTCATCCACAATTTAGAAAACCTATCTGGTCGACTTCCATGAACTTCGCGTCGCGGAACCGTGCTATCTTTGAACTTCTCCCTTCTCGTCCTACTTGTCGACCAGGACTAATCTTCAAACCATTTCCCGCCCCATCCTCCCATCCAAGACGCACCATGTCCAGCTCGATCGAGCAGAAACTAGCCGAATTGCAGAAATACTCTGCATGCGATGTAAGAGCTACAAACCGCGATCATCACCTCTAATTCTCTAGACAGCTTCCGCTAACCAAATCAAAATCCAGGTATCAGATGCTCTCCTCAAACTACAGAAACTACCGCAAGGAACAGCCGCCCGAGCAGGGCACCTGGCCGACTTCAGTAAGGAGACCTCGCTCTGAAGCATCAATCTCCCCTTCTTAAAGCCAACCAACCCGCTAACAAATCAACCCAGCCCCCTTCTCCCCCTCCATAGACCGCAACGCAACACAACCCAAAATCATCGCCCCAGCGTCAACCTTCAAGTTCATCTCCAAGGGCGACCGCATCCCACCCAGTGCGAAGCCCGAGGACTTGCATGGCTTCCCGTCAGGCACGCACTGGGTCGACTTCGCCAAGCCAGGCACCATCGCCGTGCTCGAGCAGCCAGCGGACCAGCACTGCGCCGTCCTCGGCGGGATCATGGCCGTGCGGATGAAGGTTCTGGGTGTGCGCGGGGTCCTGGTGAACGGGCGCGTACGGGATTTGGCAGAGATCAATGAGTGCAAGCTGCCGGTTTGTGATTCCCAATCCCAATCCTGGATCGGGGGCGGTCGGGGGCTGATTGATGTAGGTTTGGGCGAAGGGGACGTCGACGGTTGGGTCGGGTGCGGAGGCGAAGCCGGGGGCGAGGGATGTGCCCGTTGATGTGGGCGGCGTGACTGTCTCCCCGGTATGATTTTCTGTAGGGAGGAGCTGAGGGTGGACGGTGATGCTGACGTTGTTTGCAGGGCGATATAATTTTTTGTGATCCTCTGGAAGGCGTGGTTGCTATTCCTCACGAGCTCCTGGATCAGGTGCTGGAACTCATGCCGAAATTAGTGGCCATGGATGACAAGGTCAAAGAGGCCGTGTCTCAGGGGATGAATGTCTTTGATGCGTTCAAGCAGTTCCGTACCAAGATTTGAGAGACTCTTAAGGCTGTATATAGACGAGTGATCAATATAAATAAAATGGTGGACCATCATATCATTGGTATTCGAACAAGTATTCAATACAATCAAGAAGGTGGTAACATGATATATGTCATCGCTATACAAAGAAAAGCAGAGAAGAAAAGCAATGAAACCAGCTCATTCCTTCTTTTGTTTATTCGGCAACCCAGACAGCGGCCATACCCATACCCGTACCCACACACATGCTGGTGACACCGACCTTCTTGTTGGTGCGCTTCAGCTCTGTCAGAAGGGTGCTGATCTGTCTAGCACCGGTGCAGCCGAGAGGGTGGCCAAAGGCGATAGCTCCTCCCTTGGGGTTGATCTTTTCCTGAGGCAGGCCAAGCTCGTTGACACACCACACACACTGAGAAGCGAAGGCCTCGTTGATCTCATAGATGTCGACCTCGTCCTTGCTGATGCCAGCCTTTTCAAGGGCGACAGGGATGGCCTTCCAGGGGCCAATACCCATGAGCAGGGGCTTGACACCGACAACGCTGGCGGCAACATACTTGCCAATGATCTTCTGGCCCAGGCGCTCGGCGGTGGAACGCTTCATGAGCAGCACGGCGGCAGCACCGTCAGAGATCTGAGAGGCGTTACCGGCGTGGATGGAACCATCCTTGGCGAAAGCAGGACGGATCTTGCCGAGGGACTCGGCGGTGATGCCGTCACGGATGCCGTCGTCGGCCTTGACGGTAATGGTCTTCTCCTCGCCGGACTTGGGATCAGTCCACTTGACCTGGAGAGGAACAATCTCCTCGTTGAAGAGACCGGCCTTCTGAGCCTTGACGGCCTTCTGGTATGAAGAGGCAGCGAAAGCATCTTGGACGGCGCGAGAGACGTTACGGTCCTTAGCCATCTGTTCCGACAAGACACCCATGGGGACCTTGCAGTTGGCGGACTCGGGGTGGCTCTCAAGGAGCTCGGAGAACTCGGTAACGGCACCAGGACTACGTGACGGAAGTTTGTCAGCATTCGGGCCTTTTTTTCCGTATTGCAAAAGAATGGTTCGACTTACCCGTACTGAGAGGACATGCTCTCCACACCTGCACCAATACCAACTTCAATCATACCGGACTTGATTGCGTTGGCAATGTCCACAATGGCCTGGAGACCACTGGAGCACTGTCTGTTCAAGCTCTTGACAGCAGTCGACTCGGGGAACCCGGCAACAAGGGCAGCAGCACGGAACTCGGTAGCACCGCCACCAGGGGCAAGGACGGAGCCAACAGCAACATCCTCCACCACCTTGGGGTCGATGCCACTGCGGTCGATGACGCCCTTGAAGACACCGGCCAACAGATCAGCGGCAGCGGTATCCTTGAAACCACCCTTTCCGCCCTTGGTCAGGGCAGTACGCAGGGCACATGTGACAACGATATCATCGGGATGCTTCTCGGTGATGGCGGCGACACCCTTCTTGCCTCCCAACGTGAAGTGGGAGGAGACCTGAGAAAGACGCTGTTGAGCTGTGAACCCCCAACGTAGTCAGTATATCTCAAGTCGACCGAGGTGAAAGAGTACGACTTACCAGAAGACATGATGACGTCAATATAAACCAAGGGTATATGCAAAGAGACCAAAGGACAACAAAGTAGAGCTCTTCAAAAAGTATGGGATACGAGAGTGATGCTAAACTGGGGAGTCCCCTTTATAACCCCAGAAAAACCCAACGTGGAGTAATCATTAAATCTCTCGGTCTTGTTACCCTTTGCAGTCGGCGTGTATCCAAACCTGTGAAAGTACCGAGGTCCAGCCGCATCAATGTTGTTCCGCTAAAAAACCAGAGTCACGGGATCTCCGGCGAGGAACCATGTCTCTCAATTTTCATGTGAAGAATCATCGATCAGCAGATGACGGTGCAGAAGACTGCAGATGATCTTCCCTTGTGCCTTGGAGCCTAGGCATTAATGAAGAAACTGAGCTATTGTAGGCTTGTCGTCATTTGATCCGAGTTACTCAGCTATTTTGACAATGATTATGCATGATCTTGTGAATGCCTTCGCTTATGCATCATTATACACTGCGTTGACAGGAATTGTTTTTATATAATCCACTACATAGATAGTAGTACTGACAAAGTGGGAGTCTCTATTGTGATGGTACCTGAAAATATGGTCTTAGAATACTCTGAACTTAATATACTTCATCATGTTTGTGGAATTCAACATACAGACACAAATGATGTTACTGCTGCACTTTAGTGTCCTTGTCAAGCTTCCTCTGCTTAGATCTCTTTCAAGATTATTAAAGATCATAAATATCAATCAGAATTGACCACTCCATACCTCTCCTATAGAGAGCTCAAGTATTAAATCCGAGCGGAGAGTCGGCGGCGGAATCCCCGACATCTTTTTCTCTCCGCATTGTATCCAACATCAAAAAAGTTCCGGCCACCTCCACAAGATCTCAATAGACAATAGCTCACCAATCTCCTTCGCTGCACCTTCACCTGATCTATTTCATTTTGCTTAACAACTGCATAATGCGCTCGCAGATACTGCGTGGTCTGGCAACAGCCGCACGCGCATCCCCCTCCCGATCAATCCACATCCAACCCTCCTCATTAAGACCATCCCGAGCAACATGCAGCGTGCGATCTTCCTTATCCCTCCCCTCGTCGTTCCTTTCTAACCACCTATCCTAGCAGAACCCGAACCCTCTCTCACAATCAGCTCTATCCCGGCCATTCTCCCACTCCACTCCTGTCTCGTCATCCCCGTTCCGCCTCACCTCGAAACCCGACACCGACCACACAATCCCCCCCGAACCACCCCTCGACGGCGAACCGGCCCCCTACTACAGCCCCTACAAGCCAAAGCGCCAATGGCCCCCGGATATGTCCAAGCTTTCCCCGAAACACCAGTTCCGGCTCGAGCGCAAGTACCGACGGCGCGCCGCGCTCAAGTTCGCTCGGCCTAAGTGGGTCAAGGCGACCAAGTTGCTTCAATGGGGGGTAATCGGATGTAGGTTTCCTATCTTGGTCGGGGAAAAGGATAGAAAGAATGGGCACTAATGTGGCTTGTCTCTTGTAGTTGTTTTGATATATGCTTTGCTGTTTATGGAGTGGGATGAGAGGGGAAGTCCGTTCGATGGGGTAGGCGTTTCCCCTGATATACTGCTGAGAGGTGTCGCTAACCTGCTTGTTCTACAAAAACAGATTCGACGGGCTTTCTTTTCCGGCGTTAAGGATACATTCTCTACTCCGCCGCCTCCACGCCCTGTCAGGAGAGCTGACGATACTACTCAGGAGTAGACATCACCCATAGAAGATCAATTGGCGGTCTCGCTTGTCCCAACTCGATAATCAATCTAGTGCTGCTGTACATAATAACTGTAACATATGTATGAATCAATGTACTATCCGCAAAGACTACCAAAGCAGGGCGACTCCCTACCTGACAAGCTTGAAACCTCCGCTATACTGCTCGCGGACTTGGTCAGTGTCAATCTGAACTACGAGTTGCATGTCCAAAAGAAAACAAATTCATAAGAGTTCACTGCCGTCTGAAAATGTGTTTGAAAAGGAGAAAGGAGAAATCTCATCATGTTGGCCCTGTTGCTTCATTAAAAGTCGTGTCGCCATGGCCGTAGTTCAGCTGACAGATGCGCCCAAAACACCAAAGAAATGCCAACGCCGTTCAGTATCCAATTACTCCAGTAAAACAAAGTCAGCAAACCCAGATGAAGGTGAACGAGTGACGGGAGTGCTCATGAGAGGGGGAAAGAAAAACGCAGCAGAGAGTAACAGCAACAGAAAAGCAGGACCTAGAACGCCGGGTCATGATCGCATGATGGAGTTGACTTCACAGAGAAAGTCGATGAGTTATTGAATCAAGACATCAAAACTCATGAAAGCAGATTCGCCACAAATATGAATTCGCATGCTGTAACACCAAACGGGCTTGTCACAGCCAATTGCCCAGGCCATCCGCCTTCTGAGAAACTTGATTGTTGGAAGGCAGGTCCAGTGCAAGCTCCAACCTGGGAGGCTTTTCGTCAAGGATACCCTTCTTAGGGATACCACCTCCGGCCTTGACTGGGGACTTGACAGGAGATCCAGGTTCCGGTCGAGGCGGACCCTCCCGAACGAATGTGTACGGCCACCCGTCCTCGATAGCAGCCGCAATCCATGTCCGGAGACAATCGTGGACGGAGGAGTAAAATTTCTCCTTGCATGTCCTCAGACTACCGCCCATTACCTTCTCAAATCCGGAAGCGCGGAGTTCTGAACGCAACTTGTTGCGTTCTTCGACAGACGGCATACATGCGATGAGGCCGTTCATGAGGTCAAGATGCGCTGCGAGATAGTTGGTGGCATCCCATTCAACCCCACCTACATACGGCGCAGCGGGAACAGGCGGTCTAGGTGCCGGAAAATGACGCTCTCGGAACGTCTGTTGCTCCAGTTCTGATGGCGATTTGTCGGACTTGACGATGGGTATGACATTGAGATGATGAAGGAAAATCCAAAACACCTCTTTGGTTACATTGCTGACTTCCTTACACCACACTCGATAAGGGCGAGACTGGTAGATATTGGCAATGAACGAGAGGGGCTGGTTTTCTTCCGGGGGACTTGGATCCTGCAAGTAGGAAAGGATCCGTGAGGCACATGCTGTTGCCATCTCGTCGGAGGGGGCTGTAGCAAGCTGAGTAAAGAGGAGGTTCATGATGATGCTACGAGTGGTGTATTCGCTCGGTCCTTTCTTTTCCTCATCGAAGAGCATCTTCAACAATGCTGGGAATAGTTCGGCTTCAATTTTGGTCAGGTGCTTCAATGCGACAGAAGTTGTGCAAAGAGCCTTCAGGCACAAAAGGGTTTCATGAAGCAGGGTGTCCTCATGCTCCTCCCTGACGAAGATATCAGTATTTGTGCATAAAGCCATCAGACTGGGCCACAAAGAACGTACCGCCATTCAACTTTCATTATCCTGTAAAGCAACTGGACAATTTCGTCCATACCGCCATCGGTAATGAATGTATCAACCCAGTTGACGGTCTCATTGCGCAATAGAATACGGAGCTTGTGTACCTTACCAATCTCGATCATCTCGGGCTTTTGTATCTCACGTAGATAGTGGACAAAGTCCGATGGATCGGCAGCAGTGTCGCGACTGGCTGTAGCGGAGAGCGAGACGGTAGACGTCGCTGGTGTCAGGATTTTTGAGAGACTCGCCGGTTGGGACAAATCAGCAGACTTTGGACGCCGATAGAAGCTTCCGCTTTCAGGCCGCTGCTTTTTCCCAGGTGAGGAGCCACCTTTAGAAAAGGTAAATCCGCGACTCCTGGATCTCGATCGGGACCCTTTTCCGTCATGACTCTGTCGCTCATCCTTCGACTCGCTTTTGCGACCTCGGCGACCAGTGCTGTCATTGGCCGAGGAAGGAGCAGCGCTCTGTGGAGTGTTGTTCTCTGCTCTATCCTTTTGGATAAAATCAGCCTTGATGCTAGTGTCCAATGCCCTCATCTTGTCCCTCATATTGTGGGGAATGTTCCGCGCATCCTATGTCACTAGTCAGCATGTGCGTGCCGGACGAAAGTAGTTCTTAATTAGGCAACTGACAAGGAGCTTTTCGAATTCGCTTTCCAGGTCCTTCGGGTTCAAGCGTCGTTGTACCTCTGCTTCTTTCTCCTTCGCGTTGAAGGCGGAGATTGCCGCCTGCACGCGTGATGGTTTCTTTGGGCTCGCATCTGGCTTCATCTCAGGCTCTGGGTGCGATTCGGACCTTGACATACGAGGCCTTCCTTGACCTCGCTGGGACTCAGTCTCAGGCTGATCCACCGCAATTGGGTTGTCAGACGGCACTGTTTGGATACTACCCAGTGCCTCCCTTAACTTTCGATTTCCTGAAAGATTATCAGATTTCGGACGGGGCTTGGCATCAGAGCGATTAGCGAGAGAGGGCTGATGGTAATCATAAAAATTTCGCTGTTGCGCTGGGCCATAGCCTTTGGGCGTGTACAGCGAGACTTCTTCTTGTAATGTTCGGCGCTTATTTGGGGACTGCGGCACTTCAGTCTGGTTGTGGAAGGAGTCGGACCCGTACGGGTTCCAGACAGGAGATGGCATGCTGTCCACCAGATCAGAGGGGCTTCGATTTTCTTTGTCTCGGACGTCTTTTGATCCCTCGGCCTTCCTTCCCCGCTGTGATCGTTTTAGGATGGCACTGAGGCTGTTTGCCGACTTTGCCTTCTTAGGCTTCCAACCCAACGACTCGTCCTCCTGCGCACCACCGGCCTTGTTTTCCTTGCGTTCCATGTAGTTTCTCAACGACTTCAGCGACACAGTACTCTTCGTCTTCTTGTGCAAGCCCCCTTTTCCTGTCTTTTCGGGCGGCTTCTGCTGGAATGAAGTGCCATCTGCCGCGTCACGGTTGTGGGCTCTTTCGCCCAGCGGATGTTGGTTTAGTGCAGGGTAGGCCTGGTCGGCTGGTGACCAAGATGCGCTTTCCGCCGGTGTGGACCTGGGGAAAATCTTTGGAGGGATAGCATCGTCCGCAGATTGGTTTCGTCTATGAGCTTTGGCGAGAATCGCTCGGAACCCAAGTTTGGTAGGAGTTCGGGTGGCATCGTCGAAGATCTCGGGGGGGTGCATGTTGGGAGCCATTTCAATCGCCTTTGACCAGAAACTAACCGAAGCATAACGACAGCCGTCAGTGACGTTGCAAATAACAATCATGCAAAGACGAACCTCTACTGGGACGGATAGACATCAATAAACTTACGGTGAGAAGATGCTCCGATCGCAGGTGAGAAGAAGTAATGTAACAAATCAAATGGTAAGTCGGACAAGAAAGCACCAGACAGAGCAAGAACGACAAAATCACAAATTGCAAGCAAGCAAAAAGACACAGCAAGATGGGAAAAAACAAGACATTGGCGAGCAGGTAGTATCTGCTTGAAGTCAGGACTCGACGGGGGCAGACAGCAGGAAGTAATAAAAAGCCGGCGACATCGAAGGGACAGCGAGACCCAGCACGGCACAGCGAATGATCACCAGGTGGATAGTCCGGAAGTGAGAAGAGTCTCGGATGAGTCGAAAAAGATGACCAACAGGCGCATGCAGCATCCATCCACCAACTTTATCCACCAACGCCGTTGCACAGTGGCTGGAATCGAGGGTGGTGGAGGGAGTAAACAGAGAGTGGCAGTGAGGTTGCTGGGGGCAACGATGAGGGGGCAAAATACTTATCAATACGGAGTAGTCTATCTATACTCGACAAGCCAAGGTAGAATTGTGTCTAGACTATCTACATGACGATGATGATGATGATGATCAACTGTTGATCAATAATTGATTGTCCTAATCCCATACATCCTCGACGTTACTGAGGACTGTCGTCACTTGTTATGATCCCCGGATGACGGTATTTGAGCCTGGTGATATCCTACTACGTTATCACCACTAAACATGATACTCGAGCGTTCTTTGATCTTATCACCAATCCCCATCAGGAGTCTCAATGTTTTAGATATCGAAGTCAAATTCTTGACTCGTTCGCAATTCTATATCTCAACGTATTAGGAGATAGATGGGAGATGGTACTCCGCAGATACCACGCAATTTGGAAAAACCACATGCGGACGCCAAGGCAAGGCTTCATCAGTGCGATCTTCTGGTTCGCGGGGGTGGCCCAATGGTGGTAGATCATTTACTACTAGGTACTACTTCGTCCCCTCATTGTACTCAGTAATCTTCTTGATCTTCTACTTACATAAGTACCTTCGATTTATCTATTGTATAACAACTAAGTGCAGTCGGTTCAGTCTCCCGCATATTTGATCGATTTTGCTTTGTCGTATCGGGCCTTATGGCTTCTCTGCTTGATCTTAACCTTATTATTTCTAGTATGGAACTGACGGACCTCACTAAAAATTCTGATGCAAAGGCTAGGCCACCATGCCGTCATCGTTGACCTTACCTTACGAAGTAGTTTTATCCATTGTTTTTGTGTCGAGAAGATCCAAATTCTTCGCTGTATCCTGCCGGTCGCTTTGGCCATTTCTATGCGTCGACCTGGTGGATCTAGGATATTGATGCGCGTTTGTCTACAGCGAACCAGCGCAATCGGGCAGTTTCGGGCCTTCTGCCCCGCAGGTCCTCAGCTTTGATTCCGACGTACATCGACAATTCTAGATTCGTCTATGAGATGAATCAGTTTCAACATCCGAGCACGAGCATCAATCATACTTAATCGTGCTTCGGCAATTGGCCTGACGCCTGCACGATCTGCACCACGGCCCAGCGATGAATTGTCCGTCACGAACCGACGACACTCTTGAGCATCCGGGCTGGAACCAGAATCCTCCCGCGTTGAATGCAGATATAACTACTCGAAATGATCTCAATGGCATTGCCAACTCCAAGGTACACCGGAGGCATGCGTCGGGAATGGGAGGAGTCTCGGGACAAGACATGATGGAGACAGACTCTCAGCTACACCGTCAAGACGGTACCGAATCCAAAATCGTGGAGACGAAGACGCTAGGCGGAGTGGTCGCTGCTGCCTCTGGATACGAAAATCCCCAGAGTCACAGCGGATCACCCCGCCGTCATTCAGATTTCACTTCGATAATCACCTCCCATATTCTCCATGTCGGGCAGAGTCTTGCCAAGTTTGCTCGCTTCGTGGGCCCCGGGTTCTTGATTGCTGTTGCTTACATTGATCCCGGAAATTATGCCACCGATGTGGCTGCTGGTTCAGAGTTCCGATATGCGCTGCTTTTCATTGTCCTGCTTTCTAATCTCTTCGCCATTTTCCTGCAGTCCTTGTGTATCAAGCTTGGAAGTGTGACTGGTCTCAACCTGGCGGAGAATTGTAGGGAGCATCTTCCTAAATGGTTGGTATACATTCTGTACTTTATGTCAGAAGCCGCCATTGTCGCGACTGACATTGCCGAGGTATGGCCTGCCTACTCGACTGTACTTCCCTCTCCAAGTCCTGACTGATCTTATTCCTAGGTCGTGGGTTCAGCTATCGCTCTCAACCTCCTCCTTAAAATTCCTCTGGTCGCTGGATGTGCCATCACGCTCGCCGATGTTCTCATCCTTCTCATTTTCTATAGACCCGACGGATCCATGTGGGGGCTGCGACTCTTTGAATACTTTGTTATGGCATTGGTCCTGGGAGTGGTGGTATGCTTCTGTATACAGCTTTCTCTTATCAAAGGACAGTCCGTTGGCGATGTGTTCAGAGGCTATATACCCTCTTCCGCCATAGTACAGTCCAACGGGTGAGTGGGTCCCCGTGCAAGCTACGTTAAGATCTAAGGCACTGACTGAAGCTCATTTTCCCTCCAGTTTGTATCAGAGCTGCGGCATTCTCGGTGCTACAGTCATGCCTCACTCCATATTTCTTGGTAGTGGTGTTGTCCAGCCGCGCTTGAAGGAGTTCGATGTCACAAAGGGATATGTGGACCCGGCCGTCTGTCTTGGAAGCACTAGCGGAGAGGTCGAGTACAGGCCATCTATCCACGCCATCCGAGGCTGCATGACGTACTCGATCATAGAGTTGTCGCTCTCGCTTTTCACCTTTGCTCTTTTTGTAAACAGTTCCATCCTGATCGTTGCCGGTGCCTCCCTATACGGGAGTTCTAGCGCTAACGGCGCTGACCTCTGGGGAATCCACGACTTACTATCCAGTTCCATAGCTCCGGCTGCCGGCTTGATCTTTGCGCTGGCACTGCTCCTGTCGGGCATTTCGGCCGGGATCGTGTGCACTATGGCGGGTCAAATGGTGAGTGAGGGGATGCTGAAATGGACCATCAAGCCCTGGCTTCGCAGACTCATTACTCGATCCATCAGCATAATCCCCAGTATCATCATCGCAGCAGCTGTGGGAAAGGACGGGTTAAACAAAACCCTTACCGCCAGTCAAGTAGTACTGAGCGTAATTCTACCCTTCGTGTCGGCACCCTTGATCTATTTCACCTGTCGCAACCGTTATATGACCGTGCCAACCGATCGCGTTGGCGGCGACGAGGCGGATATTCCGTCCGAAGGAGTCAAGATGCGAAATAACTTTCTAGTTTCTGCGATAGCCATACTAATCTGGTTGGTAATGGCAGTGATGAACGTGGCGTTGCTGGTCCTCGTCGGATTGGGCAGGGCCTGATACAAACTTCGTCGTTGCCTCGCCTTACATGACATTAGACTTAGACTTAGACGCAGAGTTGCGGAATATCATCCCAAGTGTTATAGAATAGAAAGATAACCTCCGGAGGAGCGCAATCGAGAGCGTCTCGTAGAGCAGAGACTAACAAACCAAAAAAAAAAAAAAAAAGGAAATGAACATTCCCAAAACGCCATTGCTTTCATGCTCCAGAACATCAATCGTCAATCTCATGTATTAGCCCAGCCCGCCAGCAGGCTCCTTGACCTTGGCTTGTTCCGGAGGCTCGTCGATAAATTGCGGCGGTGCCACCTCATCCTGCATGAAGCTAGGCATGGCACTCTCGCCCATCGCACTCTCAAACATTGACTCCTCACCCAGGGCCTCCAACTCCGCATCGAGTTCCGCCTCATCCACATCCTCGGGGATATCATACGCTCGCGAAATACTCTCCTGGATCTCATTGCCGATATCCATCAGATCGGCCATCTCATCCTGCATGCGCTCGATCTTGTCTATGTCGACCTTGCCATACTGCTTCTTCAGCTCCTTGGTCGTCGTCTTCATCGCGTCAACTGTCGTCATCACGTTCTTCAAGTTATCCTGCATCATCCCTGCCTGTTCCATGTTCCAAGATTGCTGGGACAGCTGATCCCGTTGGGCTTCGTATTGTTTGCGGCGCTGCAGGACCTTGAGTGCCTTCTGGCGAAGTGCGGTCTTGCCTGGTCCGTCGCGCATCTTGGCGATTTTGGCTTGGTAGGTTGAGAGTTCGGCGTTGAGAGAGGCTAGTTTGACGTCGATGCTCGCGACGCGGTTGTCCACCTTTATAACGGCGGGGTGTTAGCTCATGCGGGGAGAGGTAGAGAGGCTAGTTGAAGAGAGTCGGAAGGGGACCTACTTTGGAGATCGCATCGTCAAGCGTTGGCTTGGGAGCCGTATTTTTCGTTCCAAATAGTCGGTTCATCTTTCTTGAGGTTGTGTGTCAAGTATGAGATAGTGTGGTGAGTACAGTGCGGAGTGATGTAGGGGCGGGGATCAGCACCAGTTGATAGTGGCAGGGGTGTTGTTGCCGCCTAAGGACGCGGGAAGATGCCCTAGGCTACCAACGGGAATCGTACAGAGGTCTTGGAACTGTCAATAATACCTCAGTAGAATTCAACAGAAAATCTCTATTGTCTACCATACTAATTGGTCTATCAGAACTGGATTTCATGAGTATGGTTGCCTGAATCCGGCATACACCGATCAAGGTTATAGACACGTGATGGGATCATCAGTTCGTCAGATCCCATAACAAATAAGGCTCCGTACTAGTAGTCTTGGAGTCCATTAACCTACGGAATAAACCATCATCTGACGGCGATTTAAGCCATCCACTCCAATCAGAGTAGTATCGATCATCCTGGCTAAAAAGTCTCGCTTACAACCTGGCATTTCGTAATAATTGGGGGCTTATAGCACGTGTGACCACGTTGATTAATGTCTGTGTGGGTGGATGGTCCCTTTAAAGTCCTTGTTGTCCATCGACCTCAGTGGGACGTAATCACGGAGACCTGCTTGACTTCGAAGTATTTAACACTTAGCAGTCCCAGTGCAGTACCTGATCTATATTTATCAATTTGGCCATTGCAATTGTCATATACGACACACTCAGCAAGCGACTACCGAGTATTGTGAGATCGTTCAGGTCGCAGCGCATCGGAAAGCACCAACTTTCCTCCATCGACAACGAAAGGAAGAGAAAAGAGTCACAAATGTCGTGAACATCGACTCATATACTACGGAGTACACCTGAATATAGAAAATATGATTTCATTCTTCTTATCATAAAGTTTATCTACTTCAAGACCATCCTGAAACGATCTGTCACATTTTCCAGCTCTTTTCATCTCCCCCTCCACCTCTCGCCTAGAGGTCGCGTGGAATTTCCCCGCCGCCGCTTGTCGGATCTCGTTGGGTATTTCCGCTCAGCCTGGTTCATCAGTCCTCCAGGGATCAAAGTTGCCGGCCGATCCAGACGCAGCCGCCAGCGCAGCACGTCGACGTGATCCCTGAACGTCAGCTGTGACTCTGTCCTCTATTGACCGTCTACATCTGTACCTTGACGACCGACGGTTGATTCTCCTACCAACTTGACCGACTGGTCTCGCCTGTGCAACAGGTTCCTGTGCCGCGCAAGGAAACACGGACTCGATCAGCTTACGCCGGTCCTGCAAAACACTCCACAAGGAGTCTGGCGCCGCCCTCTCTTTCTTTGTCACTCTCTTATCATAAGGTCTTGAAGGTATGAATCATTTCGCTCTTATTTTCTTCCCTGTTGAATCGCTATCTCGTCTTTGATCTGGCGTATTTGCCTCCTTCCTGCCAGCCTCCCCCTGCTGCTATCCCTTAGTGTCCCTTTCCCCTCTTCAGAATGAATGACTCCCCTAAGGCTTTGATTACTGGGCTACACCTTGGTTTGCACCATTTCAACCGCTTGATCATGCTCTAGCTAGTAAATGATTGCTGACTTGCTGAGTTCTGACACGCAGCGCTTGGCCGCTCCGACCGTATTCATTTCGCAACTATTATCATCGCCTTCCCTTGAGACAAACCTCACGAATCGAACCGTTTTGGAAACATTTCTAATCTAGCAGGAATAACTTCCGTACGTTGAACCAATCGGCGTTTCTTACTCGTTGCGCTGTATCATTTAGACGTCTCCGTTACGACTCTCGGAGCGGATCAGACCAAGAACAAAAGTGTGCTTGTTATACCTTACTTGTTTTCCATGACGATTTTCTCTCGAATCTATAGTTCAAGATGTTTTGGCGCTTCGGGGGATACGCGAGTGTCTCCACCATTGATACCCTGCTCGACAAGCCTGATGTCAGTCTCGAAGAGCTGTTGGACGAGTCAGAGTTGATCCAGGAGCTCAAGCAACATAATACGAAACTCATAGAATATCTGCGAGACGATCATGTCTTGAAACGCCTTATGGACTACGTGATTGCACCCAGCCTGGTGAACGAGGATGATGATGACGACGAGGACGATTCGAACGACTCTAATGCCCCTCAAACGAATAAAGATGCTCCAAACGAAGGAGAGAAGAAAGTCGACCCGCTGAAGGAGATCTTGGATCCTGAAGATCTGGACCGAGCTGAGAAGAACCGTTTGAAGCATGCGTACATCGCGTGCGAAATTCTCTCGTCTGAAACATGGTCAATATTGGAGTCAATAATGGCGAATACAAGCTACCTGCGCGACTTTTGGGGCTTTGTGAGGAGGCGACCCTCCTTGGATCCTATTCAGGCGGGTTACTTCACGAAAGTCAACGAAACGTTGTTTGATCGAAAGACCAGTGAGATGCTGGAGTTCTTCAAGTCTCTGGACGGTATTGTCCCGGCGATCCTCCAGCATGTCGACAATCCCATGGTCATGGACCTCTTGTTGAAGATTATCAGTCTGGAGAAGGCCGAAGGAGGCCAGGGAATTGTGGATGTGTGTTCATCATAAAATAGTCCCCTGTTTTTTTAAGGTCAAGACTGACACCCATCGCAGTGGCTGAGAGCACAGAACCTGATTCCTACACTTTTGTCCTTCTTAACCCCAGAGCATCCGGCCTCCGTGCAAACCTCTGCAGGAGACTTTCTCAAGGCCATCATCACTATTTCGGCAAATGCGACTCAGAACGACCAATCCTGCATTGGACCCAATAGTCTCACTCGCCAGCTCGTCTCCGCAGAGTGCGTAGAGACTCTAATCAAGGCCATGTTGCAAGGTGGAAACCCGCTGACAGTGGGCGTTGGTATCGTAATTGAAGTTATTCGGAAAAATAACTCGGATTACGACCCAGAGACCATCGGTGGCCATGATTCGCCTCCTACGACATACGACCCTATCTATCTGGGCAACCTGCTACGGATTTTTGCCAAACATATACCGGACTTCATGGCACTGATTCGAAGCTCCAAGCATACTATCAATGACAATGGAAAAGTACGAAGCGTGGACAGAGGACAGCTCAGCTCTGCTTGGGGCGCTAAAATTGAGCCTCTTGGCTTTGACCGTTTCAAGACATGTGAATTGATGGCAGAGCTGTTACACTGCAGTAACATGGGTCTTCTGAACGAACCCGGAAGTGATGAGTATGTCCGCCAACGCGATGCTGAACGAGAAAGACTTTTCCGCGAAGGCGCCTTCAATCCGCACAAAGAGTCGTCTGCCCTCGAAGGCAACGATTCTACCGCAGACTTTATCAATGGTTCTGTTATCGACTCCGGTTCCCCTGAGGATTCTCGAGTCCTTGAAGTTTCGAACGCTGGTGAAGATGGGTTCGAGGACGTCGATTCTTCTGGCGTCCTGGTCGACAAGGAGAAACTTGCCGAGAGAACGGATCCTGGTAGTGGGCAGACTGAGCCGGAAGTGAGTGATGCATCGAGAACATCAACCTCGATGAACGACAAAGAAAGTGATTCTGGCGAAGCCCATGATCATGCCGAGGCTGAAACGGACACAAAAGAAGGAAGCAACTCTGACAAGAATCTCCCACCTACGGTGTCTGACCTTACAGACCAGCTCAATGCAATGGATTTGGGAGACCAACGGGTCTCCGAGGAAACCACGGCCCAGGAAGATGTCGGAAAGTCTGAGATCCTCCCCCCAAACGACTCGGAGTCTCCCTCTGCTGCACAGATGTCGTCCGACCCCGAAGCTGTACCAGCGCCTCTGTTCTCCACACAACAACAGGAAAAGGAATCAGTAGCTTCAACACCTGATACTGCTGGCCAGGTCGGGAATGCTCAAGATTCCACCGACCGTGGATTAGACCCGGTGCCCTCAAACACCGATGCTGAAGACTTGCGGGCGCACATCAATTCCTACGTTCAGCTCGACTCGAACGGCCAACCGGTCGTTGGTGATTATCTCAAAATTATGTTTGTGAAGAATAAGGTCGTACCTACGATACTGGTAAGTTAGCCCGCGCGAGATAGGCATTGTGTCGGAATCTGACCCCTGGGTGCCCTAGGATTTCTTCTTCCGCTTTCCATGGAACAATTTTCTTCACAACGTTGTGTATGATGTTGTTCAGCAAGTTTTTAACGGACCTATGGAGCGCGGATACAATAGATGTCTTGCAATCGATCTTTTCGAAACAGGGCGCATTACGCAGGCGATTGTTGCTGGACAAAAACGAAGCGATGAAGCGCAGCGGACGCAACGCATCAGACTCGGCTACATGGGTCATCTTACCCTCATTGCGGAAGAGGTTGTCAAGTTCAGCGAGCGTCATCCACCCGAGCTACTTTCTCCTACAGTAATGGAAAGCGTCTTGAACCCGGAGTGGATCGATTACGTGGAGCAAACTCTTTCCGAGACGCGAGAGCGAGATAATGCAATCCTCGGCGGTGTACGACCAGATATGGCTATCGGGCACCGTCAGGGCCTGCTGAATCAAGGTCAAAGCATGAACGCTTCTTCAGCGCTCGCCGAGGCTGGCTTGAATGGTGGCGTCGGCAATTCAGGCTTCCAAAACTTCGACATGAACCAGGGCAGTGTTTCTGGTGGCGCTTTTGGTCTTGGTGGCGGCAGCAGCTCTCTGCTGAGCGGCTTCGGAAGCTCCAGCGACGATGAGGATGAGGAAATGGAGGAACAAGACGACAGAAACCTAACCGAACAATCCGCCGAAGGTGGTTCTGAAAATGTGGGTGCTGATTTATTTTCTGACATTGACATGAACGATGCATGAGCTCCCTCTCGGCTTCTTCTCTCCCAAATTACTCCGTCCCTCCAGTTCTACTCCATTTCCACTTCCCCTTCCTGATCAATCTTTCTTGTCTCTCATCAAACGGTCGATGAAGACTGGCGCCGTATAGGTGTTGATGGTGAAGGAGATTTGAGGTCATTGGGGAACATAAGCATAGAGCGTGTATCTTCAGCGCTTCTTGTCCATGTACAGACCCATTTTGGGGATGAATCCCCGGAGGTCCTGCGGCAGCCGTCTGAACGGATGGTCTAGTCGGATATTTAGTCCTTTGGCTGCTCCTTCAGGCATTGATATACAAACTTGATTCCATGCATCTCTAGAGGACCAGCTGCATCTGAATGATGACCGATGATGGGTTATGGACTTCTGGGTCTGTTCTCAATTTCCTGAGTCACTCAGTTGTCTGGACACGGTTCTGGCCCGGATGATTTGACTCATGCAGACCCTCTTCCTCCCTGCCTTGATAGTTGATCCAATCCCTTTTGCTGTAATACAAGCCACAGCACTTGCTGACGACGTTGTGAACTTAGGCATCTACCAACTCAACAAGTCATCCTATACCGATTCTTCCTCCACCTCCTGCTCCTCTCAGCCTCGGACCGTCTCGCGCGCGACGGCAGCTGGCAGCACGGCTTGCCGCACAGAAACAGCAAGCTGCTGAAACGGGCGGCAATGAAGGCGAGCCTCAAAACCAAACTAACCAGCATGAGAATGGCGATGTTCAGTGGCCATCCAACCCTTTTGTGATTGCGGGCTTGGACGATGACGGTGATGGTACGGACTCGCCTTCCCGAGCCGCTTTTCCCTCCAGCGACTTTCCACATACGCGCAAGGACGAGCCTTTCTCATCGCCTACTTTTCCCGAGTCTGGCTTCAGCCCACCTGATTCAATGTCCACTAATTCCTCGGATGATGACGGGGAAGGCAGGGTAGACATGAGGCGCAAGGAGCGCGTTCCCCTGGAAGTTGATGACGATGAGGATGACATGGGCGAGATGGTCGGTCCCTCACTTGGTTCTGAAATGCTCGACTCAGATGAAGAGGATGAAGCTATCATGAACGAATCTCTAGGATACCCAGATCTCGGGCCTGGCCGCTACAGGAGCTTCCGAAGATCACAGTTTGGTCCGTCTCCTTTTGGGGACGACGATGACAATGACAGCAGTGACGGCGAAGATGATGGACTAGTCGAAATCTTAGTTCCTGGGAGAAAATCTTCCACGACTTAACTGCCATTGATGGATATGGCCAAGATTGTCCTCTCAATTTATTGCCTGCGCTGGTTTGCTCTGCATTTCATTTCTTGGCGGTAATTGTGTTTGGCACTCTGGGACGAATGGACTATTTCCTTTCTCTTTTTCATGACGATGTACACTATTGAAATGTGCATGACCTTGTATACTGTCGAGAGCGGAATAGAGATGACTTTCTCTAAACAGGAAGATCTTGGCACTAAGATTAGCCTACATGTGGCCGTGTGCTGTTCTGAATCGTGATACTTACTTCTAGCGACTGACCAGTGTGGCGGCAAGTGCAACATTACTGGCGTTTCATTTCCAACTTAAATGCCTCTGTGTTTATTGATATAGCCTGCTGTCTTTTCCTTTCTTCTCTTTACTGGACTTTGTACGATAATTGAGCAGAATCAATTCACAGTTTCTTTGCGTACTATAGTGTCAGAAGTTGACCCCTGGTGACTGAAGACTATAGGGCTAGAGAACCAAAAACAAACTTCTAAAACCATTATTTAAACGTATGAGAATGTACTGTAGAGCAATCAAAATTCTCGCTGTCATGTTCATACTTGCAAGCTGTTGATGACTTCCATGACTTTTGAGACGCCCGAGAAAAAAAAGTGGGACGCCGCATTTCATCATCCCAAAATTGCCCCTCCGAGCAATTGTATGAGTTCTCCGTGTCCATCGTCGACATCGCCACGATCTCAGTCTTTCCCTTGAGAACAGCTGCGAGGGTCGCGAGGGCTGCCTAGTCAGTTAGACAGGGAAAGTCTCGCTAGTTGATTTGAGCACCATGACGGACAGTGGTGATCATTCAGCGTTGCTGCCACCGGGGTAGGTCTAAAGCTCAATTTTTATGTTTTGCTATACTGCCTGGGATCGTTCTTGCGGTGAACGACTCAGATCTCCGTATACAGTCCTATAACTTCTGTTGAAGGTGAAGTGCGAAGCTGGATGTCTCTATTCGTAATAGCGCAATCTTGCCCTTCAGCGTTCGCATTTTGACGAGACAAACTTTCCTCATTATCTATCTTCATTCCTAGTTCATATAGCCAAAAATTTGCCATTATGTCTAATGGAAGCGTCTAGGTCTACTGGTGATAAGGACCTAGAGAAATGGATCACACTCGTGCAATGGATGACCAGCAATGGCGGCTACCTGCACGAAAGTGTTCAGATCGCCAAAGACGAACAACGAGGTGTTCATTTCAATGTCAAGAAAGACTGGAAAAATGGTGTCGCAAAGGACACGCATCTCATCAAGATCCCAGTTGCTGCAACCATGTCATACCTCAACGTCGTCGAGCATCCTCTTCCGGCCGACAAGGAAGGCAATGGGACGGCCACTTTCTCTGCTCATGGGGTGCAGCTTCCGCGCGATTTTGTCAATGCTGTTGGACCCCATGAATCATCTATTTTCTTCTTGATCAGTCAGTATCTGCGGGGCTCAGAAGGGTTTTGGTTCCCGTATATTCGGACCCTTCCTCAGCCACTTTCCCTGACTACGCCATTGTATTATGAGGGGGATGATTTGCGGTGGTTGGATGGGACAAGTCTGGCACCGGCAAGAGAGCAGAGAATGGGAGTATGGAAGGAAAAGTACGAGAATGGGATTACTGAGCTTCGGAAGGCCGGCTTCCAGGATGTTGATCAGTACACATGGTATGTGTAGACGGTTGGACACCTCCCTCTCTATGTTGATTCACGCTCTCGGCGTTGCCCGGCAAAAGTGTATTAACGAAACCCACAATAGGGACCTCTACCTCTGGTCTTCGTCCATACTCGTATCGCGGGCGTTTTCAGCCAAGGTGCTTGCCGAGGCAGTTACTGATGTGGAGCTGCCTGAAGATGGTGTCTCAGTACTTCTGCCCTGCATTGACCTGATGAATCATCGGCCTCTTGCCAAGGTAGAGTGGCGCGCTGGCAAGCAAGATGTCGCCTTTGTGGTGCTGGAAGACGTTGCCTCCGGGCAGGAAATCTCAAATAATTACGGGCCTCGCAACAACGAACAGTGTAAGTCGAAAGTAGAATAAACCATGTAACAAATTGAGAGTTAACTTCAACCCAGTGATGATGAACTATGGCTTTTGCCTTCCAGACAACCCATGCGACTATCGGATCGTCAGCTTGCGAGAACCTCCAGGTAGCCCCCTTGACCAAGCCAGATCCTATCAGCAGCAGATGTATCCCGAGAGGTCCAAAGCCACAGAGAATCATTACTACGTGTTCAATATCTTCTATCCTCTCCTGGCACCAGACACTGCCATGGAACATTCAATCTTCTCGCCCGCCCTTTTCAATGCCGTTTCCATACTTGGTGCGAATAACAGGGAGCTAGAGACCCTTGAAATCACCGAGCAGGACATCCGAATCTCAGATGCATATGGCAACTCGCGGACGGTCCTAGCCGCTCTCAGTCAGATAATCATTGAATTGATCACACATATTGTGAAGTTGAGGTCTTCTTCAGAAGGCTTGGGAAATCCCGAAAACATCAAACAGACACATGCGAAGATTTATCGTGACAGTCAGATCCGCTTGTCAGAGACAGCTCTCGTTATTGCTGCCTGGACGCTCAACCGCGCACGGCAGCACGATTATAATGGAAGCTGGGAAGAAACCAAGCGTTTGCTTAGCGCTCATATGGCTCGTTTACCTGCGAAGAATTTCTCTGACGAGGTCAAGTCCCGTATACAAGTGAGAATCCTTGAACGGAAATCGCTCCTTGCTAACAACGGCGAACTTTTCACCTTGAAAGAACTGTCCAGCCTTCTTCCCGCTGAGATACAACGACCTTGCAAAGTGTTCTTCCAAGACGTTTTGAGAAACTCTGAAAAGGCGATACCCATGCTAGAAGGAAGCGACGAGACTTCGCCATTTGCCTTCCCGATGTTCTTGTGTTTTGTGGTCGCCACTCACAGGAACACATCGGCTGATAAATCACAACTTTCTGCTAGACTGTCTACATGGGCTAGCTTTCTTCTTGAGAAGTATTCGCCGCCCCCAGAGGATGTGGCATGGATGCTGGAGGATGAAGATGATGAGAAGATGGTCAGCTTGTTCGACGACATGCTCGATCAAATGAGAGATCATAACCAAGACATCTTCTCGAACCTAGCTTCGTTCACCGGAGACTGGAAAACAGATAACTGGTGGCTCTCTCCGAACTGGTTGCGATGGGCCTGGATGGCTACAGAGGAGGAATGTGTGCAGGCGCCTGAAGATCCCTTGGCCTTGTTACGAGCAGGACGACCAGGTCAGGACTCCGTGATGCTGTCTACAGTGACTTATTTGTATCTTCCGCAATAGCTCGTAGTGGAAACAGAAGTATTCTAGAAATCTGATCATGCATATATGACTAAGCGCAGAGCACGTGACTCATACGGGCCAATCAGCGGATAGCCAAAGGCGGATATTCAGCAAGCGCAGGAATTGCCGCGCCGTGAAGCTCAACGACGGTGATCATCCCCAATTGACCCTTCCACACCTCTCCCTTCGAGTCAATCCCTCTATCCCCCGTCAATTCCCAGCAACTGGGCCATCTACCACCATGATATCTCGAGCGGCGGCTCCGTCGCCTTCCTCAATCGCCAACCTCTCCTCCCGCTCTCTCCGCGTCCAGGGTTCGGCTGCCCGCTCCTTCGCCAGTGTCCAGGACAACGCACACCCCGTACGACATCATGGCGGCCTGCGGGACCAGGACCGGATATTCACCAACCTTTACGGACATCATGGCGCTGATTTGAAGTCGGCAATGAAGTTTGGAGACTGGCACAGGACTAAGGATATTGTTTTGAAGGGTCATGATTGGGTACGCCTGTCCTTTGCACCCACGGAGGATATTCTGTGACCGTGCACTCGTGTTGCGGGGTTATACTGGACTTTGAAGCTAATATGTGCTTAACTTATCTGCAGCTGATTTCCGAGATCAAGGCTTCTGGTCTGCGTGGTCGTGGTGGTGCTGGTTTCCCCTCGGGTTTGAAATATGTAAGTCCTCCACCGTGCCAATACGGTGAGCCTCGGGAAACCCATTAATCTCTTACCTGCGTTAGTCTTTCATGAACTTCAAGGACTGGGACAAGGACCCCAGACCCAGATACCTGGTTGTCAACGCCGATGAGGGTGAACCGGGCACATGCAAGGACCGTGAGATCATGCGCAAGGATCCCCACAAGCTGATTGAGGGTTGCCTCGTTGTCGGTCGTGCGATGAACGCCAATGCCGCCTACATCTACATCCGTGGTGAATTCTATCACGAAGCAACCGTCCTCCAGCGGGCCATCAACGAAGCCTACCAGGCTGGTCTCATTGGCAAGAACGCCTGCGGCACGGGCTATGATTTCGATGTTTACATTCACCGCGGAATGGGTGCCTATATCTGTGGTGAGGAGACCTCTCTCATCGAGTCGATCGAGGGCAAGGCCGGCAAGCCTCGCCTGAAGCCCCCGTTCCCCGCCGCCGTCGGTCTGTTCGGCTGCCCCAGCACCGTCACCAACGTTGAGACCGTCGCCGTCTGCCCTACCATCATGCGTCGTGGAGCCAGCTGGTTCTCCTCGTTCGGCGCTGAGCGCAACTCCGGTACGAAGCTGTTCTGTATTTCTGGTCACGTCAACAACCCCTGCACGGTCGAGGAGGAGATGTCCATCCCTCTGCGTGAGCTGATCGACMGTCACTGCGGTGGTGTGCGTGGCGGCTGGGACAATCTCCTCGCCGTCATCCCCGGTGGTTCCTCCACCCCCGTCATCCCTAAGTCCGTCTGCGACAACCAGATCATGGACTTCGACTCCCTCAAGGACTCCCAGACCGGTCTTGGTACTGCCGCCGTCATCGTCATGGACAAGTCCACCGACATCGTCCGCGCCATCTCCCGTCTGTCCAAGTTCTACAAGCACGAGAGTTGCGGCCAATGCACCCCCTGCCGCGAGGGAAGCAAGTGGACCGCCCAGATGATGGAGCGCATGGAGAAGGGCCAGGCCCGCGAGCGAGAGATCGACATGCTCCAGGAACTCACCAAGCAGGTCGAGGGCCACACCATCTGCGCCCTCGGCGAGGCCTTCGCCTGGCCCATCCAGGGTCTCATCAGACACTTCCGTCCCGAGCTGGAAGCCAGAATCAAGGAGTACGAGCGCGAGCTGGGCGGGAAGCCCTTTGCTGGTGGCTGGCACCCGGACAGCAAGGCCGAGGGCAAGTTGATCTCCCCTGGCATGTAAAATTACCATAACCATTCCATACCTTTCTGTCTTTGATCCCATCCCGCGGCGATAAAAATGGTTTCTCATCTTTTCCCCGCCTACTTTTCACGCAACCATAACCGGGATATAAAAAGATATGGTAAAACATACATCCTTTTAGACCCGCCCGTCGCAAAGCCATGGAGTGATTTGTGTTTCGTCTCTGCGCGTATAACCTCTATCTTTCTTTTCTCCTCCTGCTCTGTTTACGTTCAGTCATGTACAGTTTCCTGGTAGCAATTCAAATAATCTCATTTGTTGAAGTATTGTGTCTTTTTGAGCAGTCCTAATCGAGTAAGCTTTCGGTTACGTAAGCTCATCTAGCAAGGGCTGTGTACACAGCCCAACCGAGCTACTCTGAAGTCTCGCGTGATCTATACCCCCAACACGTGACTGCCAAGCCAATTACTCAGCAGCTTGATCTCGCGCCACCTATTTAATACTTTTACATTTGCAGCTGGAATTCATTTTACCTTCACTTATTTTATCTTTACATATTAATATTTTCTTTAAGCACTTAGGAACTGGTTTTTAAGCAGTTTCGAGATGGAACCTACTGAGTCGAGTATTTGTCTTGATGATGACCTCTTTAGATGGGACAACACCGACAAAGAAATAGAGGTATAACCCTTTCTATAAGAAGCAGTTCTTAATCACTTACTAACTGGTTAGGAACCAACCATACCTATCCCTCTTACTAATGCAAAGAACTCTCCCCTTACAACACTCAAACTTGAGTATATTAATGACCTTCCAGAGTATCCAACTAGTCATATCCATGGATACACATATGTTGTTGCAGCAGGGGGACGCTCACAGACTGAAATGGAGCAGATACCATATGAAGTAAGTATTAGCTAGTACTTTATAAGTACTTACTAACTGCTTAGATTCAATATGCTAAGAAGCAGAGCTATGGACAGAAACGTCCTGTTTATTGTCCTTTCTTATCATGCCAGGTTAAAAAATGGACCTGGAAATGCTCTGGTATTCTTACATGTGAATATCTTAGCCCAACTCTGTTATCTTGTCATCATACATCTGTTGATGAGGCTATCTGGGAAAAAATTCAGGAATCTCAGCATCAGATTCAAATTCTTGAGTCGGATATTCGCAAGCGGAATGCCTACAGGTAATATTAATATAACTAGTTAGGAACTGGTTTCTAACTGCTTATAGCTACTACCGCTCAAAGATTACTCTTTTTAATAAAGGCTATGCCTGTCTTAACCAGCTCCCAACATGCAAGCCAGTCTTCAAAAGATACTCACAAGTGGTATATTTAAGTACTTCCTAACTACTTCTAAACCAGTTACTAACTACTTAAGAATGTACAAGGAGAACATCCCCCCTATATTGGATGTGTTAATGAAACATATGATTTCTTAACAAAGCATCATCGAGGGGCAGTTCAAGGTCATGCAGCTATTGATCTTGAATTTCTAGAGGATCTTTTTAATAAAGATATCTTACCATCATCTGAAGAGTGTGGTTCCTTTGAACCACTATCATCCCGACGAAAGTACTGCGGTAAGTAGTTCTTAAGCAGTTTATAAGTAGTTATTAATTATTTTAGATCGTGATCATCCACAGGGCTCTGGACGCTTAAAGCATACCCCCTGTGATGTTATCTTCAATGCTTTAATCCCTGTGGATATCTCTCAATGTCCATATATCTTATTTACATCTCATGGTGTCCATAAGCATCCTCCACCACCTCCAACTAAACCACCTGAACGGATTCTGCAAGCAGTTAAGCGGATTATTCAGCAAATCCAGGACCCAAGTCTGACAACTGGTAAGTACTTATTAACCAGTTATTAACTAGTTACTAACTAGCTAGTATAGCACAATTCCTTCGAAACCCCCAGCTTGAAGCCTTCTGTCAGCAGTATAATGCATCTACATTAGCAGAGATTCACTCTAGCTTCTGTAATAAGGATAAAATTACTGCAATTATTCAGAAACAACGGCTTCTTTCATATCCAAATGGTCAAGATATTAACGGGCTTATATTTCTGCAAAGGATGGATGAACATATAAAGGTAAGTACTTACTAAGCAGTTAGGAACTAGTTATTATATACTTATCTAGAGTCTAGAATTATGTTCAGGAGGTGTTCCATGACTCTCAAGGCACTATGGTTTTATGTGCCTATAAAGAGCAGATTCAGCTTCTAGCTAAGCTCTCTTCATTTGAGGTAGATATGTCTTTTAAGCGTATTCGCTCAAAGGACATAAATGAGGTGCTCTTTGCAACATTTCTACCTGACCAATGCAAAAGTAAGTATTTATAAACCACTTAGTAACCAGTTACTAAGTAGTCTTTAAATAGTTATTACATTACTTCGAGTCTTCACAAGTCTGGATTCTGCTGAAGGGTATTATCTACTCTTTAAAAGGGTCTTTACTATGATTCAGAAGGTTTTACATCAGCCAGTCTTATTTGACCCTATTCATGGCTCTGGAATATATGGTATTATTGTTGATATGGACCCTAAACAATACTCAGGTAAGTAGTTGTTAAATACTTTCAGAGCAGTTACTAACTACTTAAGGTCTTGGCCGCTATCTCTCTGAGGTTGATCCTCAACACCGAGATATAACATGGCAGTTAGAACATATCATTCTATTCTGCCGTGTTCATTTTCAGCGATCGATTTTAAAGGTACTTGGAACTAGAAGCCAGGGAACCCCTCTTTGGAGCCGGATGATGAGTCTATTAGACTGTAAATCAGAGGCTGAGTATGATGAATTACTTGAGCTACTAATTAGTATTTAACCCCTTACTAAGTACTTATCAAGCACTTACTAACTACTTATTAGAGTATGAAAATGAGAATGTTAGGAACTGGGCACAGCAGAAAAAGAGTTCAGTGATTAAAGCAGGCTTAAATAAAGCATGCTCCAAGATTCAACCTTATTATTTTGATTTATTATGCAATCATACTAATGCAGTTGAGCAATCACATCAAAAGTCATATGCCTCTGGAAAGTACTTAACATTACTTGAGGCAGTAAAGAAGTAAGTACTTTCTAATCACTTCCTAAGTATTCATATTAAGAAATACTAATATTTATAGTTCTGCTAAACTGGATAAGGATGATATCTTACAATATCAAAATTTCCAGCAGTTAAATATTCATCATTCTTATCGGACATCAAATATGGAGGCAAATTACCTACGGCATATGAGTCGAGAAAGTAAGTAAATATCTAACTAGTTATTAAGTGGTTACTAACTAGTTACTTTAGGAGGCCGTAAGCGCCGACGCTCAATATCCTCAAGTACTTCTGAAGCCCAAAGTACTTCACAATCACTTAGAGGTAGTGAAAGACTAGCTATCTCAAGGTCTTCCTCTCAAAGAGAAGATAATGAGTATGTATCCCTAAGTACTTAGGAGGTACTTCTTTAGTACTTACTAACTAATTAGGTCTATACAATCTTCACAAGCGCTTCGTCGTGTTGCCTCAACAAATGCACTCAATTTAGAGCAGAGACGTCAGGAACTTGAGCTTCGAAAAATGGAAATAGAACTAAAAAAACAGGAGGAGGAAATTCGCCTGAAGCAGCTTGAGAATGAGAAGTTAGAACTAGATCTTATGGAGCGGCGAATTCGAATGCAGGAGCGACAGTCAAGTAGTTAATAACTGGTTAATAACTACTTAGTATTTATCACTCTTTAAATATATATATACTTCAATAGACTTACTCTTAGAGTTTACTTTCACTTTACTTTCACTAATAATAAAAAATAACTATTTCTAACTACTTAGTAACTGGTTAATAACTACTTGGTGTTTACCGCTCTTTAAATATATATATACTTCTATAGACTTACTCTCAGAGTTTACTCTCACTTTACTTTCACTAATAATATAAAGCAACTGTTTTCTAATCAGTTTTTAATTACTTAGTCCTTCTCTGTAACCTGCTATTCTTTTAAGAAGTGACCCCCAATACTTATTAACTATGAAAAATGAAAAGACTATTAACTGCTTGCAAATCAGTTACAAACCAGTTCAGGCCTCAGCACCCTGTTCCGCCTCAGCACCCTGTTCCTCCTCTGTCTCCACGTGCGATGCAGGACTTGGGCAGACTGAACCACAATCAAAGAGAATAAAATAATCGCATTTATTCACATCCTTGCAGCAGTCATTGCGCTTTCCACAAGAGTCACAAGGCACCTTGTGCCCAAGCTCAGCGACTTTCTTGCGCATATTAGTCACATGAACCTAAGCAGTTAGTAACCGGTTTCCAAGTACTTTAGAAGTAGTTCAGAAGTACTTACAGTACCGTCCTTCTTCACAGGCAGGGCAGGAGTAGAAGAACTAGCATTTTCAGTGCTAGAAGCACTACCCTCTCCTGCCTTCTGGGGTTCTGCGCCAGCAAAAAGACTTTTGTAGAACTCTAAGCAGTTCCTAATCAGTTCCCAAGTACTCTGTAATTAGTTGGTATCACCTACTGATTGCTTCATCAATTCCCTTCTGTTTCACACGTCCGCCAGCCAGCCCCTTTTCCAGTTTGATGCCGTCATGGGTGAGCAAATGGGTACGGAGATTGTTCGTCGCGGTATATTTTTTCTAAGCAGTTCCCAACCGGTTAGTAAGCACTTAGATAGACTGTAAATATACTTACCTGAGCTCTCACGCAGTCTGGGACCCGACAGAAGAGTTCACCATAGAAAATCTTCAGCTCATCATCTTCATTCTGCAAGTAGTTTAAAACCAGTTAGAAATCAGTTAGAAAGTGCTTATTAGAGTAACACTTAAGACTTACCATTTCGTAGTCAGGCAACACAAGTTTTCCGCTCTCAACCTCACGAAGATACCACTGGTACCACTTCTTGAGTAAATTGTCAGCTTTCTCTGATCCTAATCACTATTTAATTAGTTAATAAGTAGTAATACTGACATTCGAAGCAAGCGTGGCCATGTTGATATGAGGTGGTGGTGAGGTAAAGGTAAAGGTAATGAAAGAGGTGGTGCGAGTTGAAATAAAAATCTGACGTTACGCGAGAGTCACATGACTGCCAAAAGATTATTAAGCAGTTTCACCACGCCGGACTAAAAAAGTGACCATAGCCGATCTGCAACCACGCAAGGGCTACAGTATATTCTCATAGTCCGACTACAGATAAGGCCTCTAGCTGCAACGACTTCAAATAGTTCTTCAATTCTTCCGTGTAAAGGCTGCATAGCTAGCAAGAAAACCAATCAACCTCTTGAAGCAAATTAGATAATATCATCATGTCTGACACGCAGAAAAAGCAACCATATTTCGACCCCAGCCATCATGCCCATGTGATATTCACTGCTCCTCCACCTTTTTTCAGCTCAAAGTCGTTTTGTATCAAGCGAACGTCACCCAGAATATCTCGATCTCAATTTTCCGAGTTTGCCTCGTTCTCATCTCGGTGCGCCTCCTTGTTCTCGCTTGCGGCCTTCTGCGTCTCCTTCTCCACCCGTTTCTGATCCAGCTTGGCGAGTCTTGCCAGACGCCATTTCATGCCATGGTGGTACTCCACCCACAGCAGGCCTAGACCTGCCAGCATCAACAAGCCCCAGAAGACGAAGCACCAGCCCCAGCCCATGGCGGTGAGCATATGGTCAATCACAGCGGCACCGACGGCTCCCAGCCAGCATCGAACGAGGTTCGATGCCGCAGACGCGGTAGACGCTCGGTCTGGGAACAGATCCACCATGAGCGTGTTTAGTGTGTTAAGGGAGGCGATGAAGCTGAATCCGATGATGAACTGCAGGACAAGGGGTGCCGCCAGCGGCGCTCCCTGCTGAAGGACCCAGCCATACGGGATGAAGGCAGCTACACCGAGAGCCATGAGGGGAAAGAAAGCCTGTAGACGAGCCTTCTCGATAGGGAAGCCCCGCAAATCGTCACCCTTCTTCCGATCCACTGGCATGCCTATTTTATGAGCAATGCGGCGATAGTTGAAATCCAGCAGCTTGCCGTTGAGAATCGCTGCGATGCATGAACCCACTCCAAGAGGACTATGGTTTCACGAGACAGATATGGTCAGCATATCTCTGGACCTCTGACAAGCCATCCCCAGGGCGGATCAACAGGGAGAAACTTACATGTAGCAAAGACCAATTTGAAGGTCGTTAAAGCCATACAGCTTGCCAAAGAGGTTGGGTGTGCTTGTCAAGAGCGCAGTGTTAGCTAACATGGCCAATCCGACATAGGAGACCACGATGAATGCATCTTTTTCCAGCAGGATCGCGAAAGCCTTGAGTGGATTCGGAAATGAAAGCTTTTTGTCTCCGCGTGCTTGGTTGAGATGTGCTCTCTGCTCCTGATGAGCGAGGCGTTCTTCGGCTGTCATCTTCTTTAGTCGGCGACGTGCGGCCAAGTACTGAATGACAGACATCCTCCACCACTCCTTCGGAGGGACACTACCATTCCCGACGATATTACGATTAGTCTCTGGCATCGTGATCATGAACACCACCAGGTAGCCACCGCTGATGATAACCAGAAACCAGAAAACACTTCTCCAGCCGAGAAACTTGGCCAAAATACCTCCAATGACAGGCCCGAGAGCCGGCGCCACCATAACACCCGCAGACACAGGTCCAATGAAGCTCCCTCTCTCCGCCGCCGTTGCAATGTCCGCTACAACCCCATAGCCAAAGGCAATGGTGCCACTGCTACCAGCGCTTTGGATACAGCGAAGAACCATCAGCGCCGCGTAGCTATTCTGCAATGCGAGGCCGATGTTAGCAGCCAGGTAGACAGTGAACGCAAGAATGTATGCTGGACGACGACCTCCCGAGTCGGCAAAAGTGCCAATGAAACTCGGAGCTAGACCCTGCAAAATCAGGTATGTGGTGATGGTGAGATTGATCAAGGCAGTAGTGAGATGGTAGTTTTTAACAAGCGTGGGCATGACAGGGAAATAGATCTGGGCGGACAGAGGAGAGAAGAACGACGCCATGGTGGTCATTAAGACGATGAAGCGCTTCTCATTCTTGCTAAAGGCCGAATGAGCTTCACCCTCGGTTTCGCCGTCTGCCTGCAGGGTCGTGGCCTTCTGAGCTTCAACAGCAGAAGGATCCGAGCCTGAGGATGCCTCTGCCGGCTTGTCGACATGGTACTGAATCACATTCTCGCCGTCGTTGGAAGAAGAGGAGGGCGCGACTCTCTCCTCCTGGACTTCGCGCACTCCGCCAGACATTGTCAATGAATTCGGTACTTGTGGGATGGCTACAAGAAAGAGATTAGTCCTCGGAAGGAAACACAGGCACCGAGCCAGGACAAGGGTACGTGCATCTGCTTCGCTGTATTGCGTTACTTCCCGGTCTTTCTCTCCTCCTCTGCTTCCGCCCCTTCTTGGAAGAAGCAAGGATAGATCTGCCCTGGAGGACAGTGTTCTCGTATAAAGAAAGCCGGACGCTTGAATACGTTGGCAAATCCGACTGATTGTGCTGCGCTCTTGAAGTGCGTATCTAGGTCCCTGACTGGCAGAGGAGACAAACGGCGATGCACCTAGCCAGGCGCAGGATAGTGAAAGGCTTTGGCAAGAAGACAAGACAAGACCAGAAGTCAGGAAGGCTGTCGTCTTCGTTCAGTCGAAGCTCTGTGTCGCCTTTGCACGACGGGGCCCCGGTATCACTGGCCACAAGCCCAATCAAGACGAAAGCCGGAACCGGGCCTGAAGCCTGAACCGGGGGTCGTCCGCCGCTCTTTCCTCTTTTCTTTATTCATAATGAGCACAGAATGACGACCAGATCAGGCAGGCACCGATTCATGATTACCTGAGGCATCTATCGAGGCAATCTATTCCTAAGGTACACTAGAAAGACACTAGAAACACCATGCTTGATTAGATCTAACGGTAAAACAGGGTAGTGAGATACACGCAAAAGTGGAAGAAAAACGCGACTTCGTAAAACTAGCTCAGTTCCCTTTCTGGATGACACGCTGCACGTTGTCTTTCGAACCCAAGCAATAGCGTAGAGAAACCCATTTGCAGGCAGAGCTGACGTAGCAACAGCTGGCACATCCAAGAAAGCGAAAGTGAGTGAGGAGAACCAAAGTAAATGTCATCAAAGTCACCTCAATGGCCACAAATGCACACATATCTTTCATAATACAAAGGACCTCCTTGCTTTTTTTTCCCTCTTCAATAACCTCCAGCCATGATAGTTTTGTAGTACCTCCGACTCATCTCTGCTGTTTGCATGATGCGCGCGTCGCCGGTGAGAGGTAGGTTGAGCACAGAGGGCAACTCGATCGCCTGTTGTTCGTCAGTTATATTTGAATCAGGGACATCAGTAGCGTTGAGACAGATGCGGTACTTACGCTGACGTCCTCACGTGTTGTCCAACCGGCTACGGCTCGGCTCATTTCCTTGAAGGCGACTCTTGCCTCCAACCMCTCCACTCCAGACCCCTTGCCAATCGTCTCCCCCATCGTGACAAGCGCATTTACTAAGCGGCTCAACTGACTAGGATCACGCTTTCCATTCTTGGCCGTGACAAGGCGCAGGAAATCGTCGTAGATTCCACCGCCGCTCGCCCAGCCTTGGACCTTGCGTTCCGGTCCCTCGCCAAAGCCCGAGATCAATGCCTCCAGAGTGGCGTAGTCCCGTTCAATAACCGCAGTTGGTCCCACGACGCGGCAGAAAGTGGAGTGCGCATCATTCCAGTTGTTACCACGGATCAGACAATCCACCTCTCGGGCGGCATCGCCGCTATCACGAGCAAACAAAGCCTTCGCACCCCAGATCCAGGCCTCCGGAAGCTGCAACTCCGTGGTGAGATACTGCCAGGTGGCATCTGGTGCACCCTCCGCAGTCACTGGTTCGGGTAACGAGGATGCGAAGCGTGCCAACGTCTCCTTGACAGCACGTTCACGATCCGACGCTTGAGAGAGATGGAGCAGAACGAACAGTGCCTGTCCAAGCTCCCCACTAGAACTAAGCTCCCAACCGTAATCCCACACCAGTTGGTCAACCCGCAGCGAGTTGATCTTGAAACTGTCGTGTTGTCCGACAGCGGCCGTGAGTAGCTGATACAGCTGGAACGGCAACCGGTTAGAGAGTTTGTCACCAGTGACAGACTCAGGAAGTAGGGCAGCCGGGAATTCGAGTGCTGGCAAATCAGAGCTCTTGGTAGCAGCAGTAGTACCCGAGTAGACCTTCAGTAAGACCCAGAGAGGAGATTCCCGACCCAGAGTGTCCGACGCGGCGCGCGACATAACATCTCCCTCCAGGTGGGATGCAGAGTAAGGAAAGGCAGATTCGTCCCCGCTCAACTCTTTGGCGAATTTCAGAACGGCATTTTCGATAGGCTCGTCGTCGGCAATACCGTACCACAAACGAAGACCAAAGGCTTGGAACCAGTCCAGCTCGAATCGCTCAGTGAAGGTAAATGTAGATGCACGATCCTCCAAAGCACCACCGGACTTGCCCTCGCTGCGGAGTGAGTTGCCAGCGAGAAGCTCGTACAGAGCTCGGATCGGTTCGGTCATCTCGGAATAGACGTTGTGCTGGCGCCACATCTCAATCTGTCTGGCCATGTCTGATCTAGTTGTGGCATCTCGACCAATTTGCGAGACCAACGTAGCCAAATGAAGATTTTGGCTCGCAACCAGAACTTTGCATGCCTCTTCGACTCGGTGGGAACACAAAAGGTGAACAGCCCGTTCCTCAGAAGATTCAATTTTATCCAGGTCATGGGCGTGTCTCTCGCGCACGATGCTCTCCCATAAACGACTGAGTCGGTCCTTCTTGATACGTTGGAGGTATTTGGGACGGACTTGTGGCGGCACCCCAGCAGAGATATCATCTTCGATCTCATCATTGAACAAGATGTTAGCGAGCTGCCAGATGAGTCTTTCCTGGTCCGATTGTGTGGAGCTCAGCGATGTCTGCGTGAACTGTCCAAAATCGGCCTTAGCCAGACGAGCGGCAGGAATGCCTTCAACGCGCTGGATTTGAGTTTGCTTTCTTTGGGCATCTACCATCTCGCTGGGCTACAACTCTGTGTCAGTATGTGGATATCCTAGGAATGCACAGAATCGGTCCATACCTCGCTGTCTTTCTTGAACACCATCACCTTGACGTCTCTCTCTTCGCTGGTGACAGAAATCTTTTCCTCCCAGCGGGTACCTGTCTGAGGAGAGACTTCTGCCATGTCGTTCCTCGCGCAGATAATTGAATCCATCGGGCCCCAGCGCGGTTTGAAGGAGTGGTGAAAGGCCAGGTCGTCCTCGTTTAATTCATTCGATTCGCCAGCGAAGGTTTTCGGTTGCTTGTTATAAGGCCACTATGAGTTGAAGAAGAGGATTAGTCAATATTTCCACTATAAATTAGTTGTGATTCGACTATCTGTAATAACCGCGTGCAGCGCATAACGTCTAAACTACATCCTAAACAAAGCAAATCGTGAAGGGAAACAACAGATAGCAATGAATCAAGGGAGTCAAACCTCAAAACCTTTCGGCTGTACCGGCTGCGCCTTCAGAGGAGATTGCCCCTGCTGCTTACGCGGCTGCTGGAACAAAGAGTTCATCAGATCGATGCTCGTCGCAAATCCTTTCTGTCGGTTGTCGGTGACAGATTTCTTCGGCGTATCGTCGTGAAGAGGTCGGTCTGTAAAGGCATTTCCTTGTATTTCGCGAAGTGCATCCCGGTTTTGCTTCCTTGGACTGATTGTCCGCTGCAGCTGTTCGGCCCAGTCGCCGCTAAGGTTGAGACGTGCCTTTGAGGGCGTTTCCCAAGGTCTCAACGAGGGTTGGGTGTTGTCAATGTAGCTGTCGGTGCTGTTGGCATCGTCGTGCTCCACGGTATGATCAAGGTTGGGAAAGGTGCCCGCCATATCCATTTCCTCGCCTTCATCGAATTCAACATCTGATTCGCCAGACTGCTGGCTCTCGGTGACATCGTCGCCATCCTGCTCAGTAGTTGAACCCGTGGAGCCGTCCCCTAAAAAAGACTCATCCTCTTCCATATAAGCCGCGTCCTTGTCCCCGATTGTTTCCATTACTTGATTACCAAACGCCCCCGGCACCATCTTGCGCTTCTTGAAATCGAAAGTGTCGTCCTCGACCCCGGCCACAGATCCAACAAAAGAGTCGTCAGTTGTGAATGTGGAGGTTGGCTCCGAGCCCACGGTGTTCGCGAGATTGGCGGGAGTCTGGGCCTTCGGAGTCGGAGTGTCAGGAGCAGCACTCAAAGTGCTTTGGTTGAGGCTCTCACCTTCATCATCGCTTTCATAATCAAGGCCATAGGTGGTGAAGTGGGGGACCTTGAAGATCCATGTTCCCGTCTCCGTCTCGTAGTCGATAAACTCAGTATTGTGCACCTTTCTCAGACGGTCGACGTGTTTCTCGAAAAGGGGCCCGCTTGTAAGGGGTGAAGGCGACTTCTTGTCCCTACCTCTCGGCCACGAGTTTTCTATCCGTAAAATAGATGGCACGTTCAGACCCTTGCCCATTGGAGGCTTAATTGCTTCATCGGGGTACACCGTGATCTTACGCACGCCGATTTCCACGAGTCCGCCAAAAATCTGGTCGAGGTCGATGGTTGTCAGATCGACAGGCTCATCGAAAGTCACCTGACCGCAACGTTGACGGCCGACAGTGAAGCCAACAACATGCTTGAGGTCTTCACGGCTCATCTTACTGAGTTCGGCACGGGATGGCTTCATCCAGTACTCGCCAGGTTTGGGGTCACTGCCGGAAATGAAGGGAAGTCTGCTGGAGCTGTCGGTGATAGCAGCATGCTCAGAGTCTTCTGGAACAGAGGGGAGATCTTTGCTACGGACGGATTCCATCTCCGGACGGGCAACCATGTCAGTGGACGTCTTTACGCCGTTAATTCCGTTGACGCTTCCAGGCTTGCGAATGGAACGCAGGAATCCAAGTTCCTCCGGGGTAGGTTCCGGGCTCTCAGATGCCACAGGAACGATTTCCCCGCCAGTAGTTGCTTCAGGTGCCTTTGAAGATGAAGCATCGAAGCTCACTCGCTTCTTCATTTTGTCGGTCGACTGAGTAGCATCCTCGCCATTAGTGATCGGAGCGGCGGGAGTGCTTGCGGGACGCGCGAACAGGTCGTTGCGCAAGGACCGATCGATGGTCAAGCGCTTCAGGCTTCCACTGGACAAGCGAGAAGTACCAGAAAGCGCACCGGGGGACAAGACACTGTCAGTCTCCGGGTCGAAGGTCTTGCGC